CTTCCCAGCGGTTTCTTTTTCGAATATATACCCAAAGGTCTCAAGTCTCTACAGTCTCCTGTTTATAACCTTTCTTTTTATTCTACAGAATTCTTTCCTTTTTTTCTTTCTAAAATTCTCCATTCTTTTCATCCACATCAAAAAAACGGCGTCTGAACTTTTTTTTTTCTGATTCATTCTGGCGAGGAAGGGGTTCTTTTTAAGGTTTTCGTTGGTTCTGGAGGGTCGTTTTCACGCTTTGTTATAACGAGACTGGCCCTTGTGATCTTTCCATACAATATACTATAGCTTCGTACGCTACACAAAACTGCTGAATTTCTTACTTTCTTTCTTCATTCTATATTATATTATACTAGTTTCGATTGATCCTGAATCAAACCCGGATAGGGTCTACTTTCTGACCTTGCTTCCCAATTTCTCGTTACCATTGCATAATACTAAGTCCCACTGATAAAAATATCGCAAAATGGTTGTGCACATGTATACACCTCTTTTGCTTAGTGCCGTAGACTGTCTCTGAATCTGTCGACACTAGTTTTCCCGATTTCGAAGGACGATAACGACCCTTTCTAAGACCCTGGTTTGAGGAAGATCAATACCGTCTCCTCCCATCCTCGACGACTTTCAACCCCGAGGTTATACTTTTTTTACAATTGACGTATTCAAAGACATTTTTCTACATTAGATTGATCAACCATAGTCGAACATCAGACCATAGCCGCATACATCTGAATCAATAAATAAAAACTTCGACTGTATTGACCGGATTTCACAGGAAGGACGTCGGTACTTTGTACATACATGTATGTATGTACGTATGTATCTAGTACCTATCTTCCTGCAATGCAAAGCTGGAAAGGGCCGGCCGTCTAGACCACGCCTCTTCTCTCCTTTGGGAGGGAGGGAAACCCCCCCATCAGGCACGGCCGCAATCGATGCTAATCTATTGGATCACAATATATCCGGGGATCACGCAAGGCATGTTATGCGGTTTGAGGTCGAATAGGAATAGTTTTTACCCACTTAAAGTACTTGTGTGTCTAGCCTGCTCTTTCTTTAGGTATACATGCTTACATCCCCCTCTGCCTCTACCCTCCGCTTTTTGAGACGGGAGTTTGGGCTGAAATGGGTGTATTCTAGCCCTAGTAGACAGACCTAGAGAGGACTGGAAAAACCTGCTTGTGCATGGCCATGATGGTGGTGCCTTATACTTGGGTTAATTTAGTGCTGTTGCAGCAAAATCGAGGAATGGGGTTCGATGGAAGTGGACTTCCCTCCTCCCCGACCGTTTGTCAAGGCCGTTTCTGAATTCTTGATATCTGCAGGGTGGTATAATGTACAGTAGAACGGGAAAAGGTCCGGTGATTTTTGTTTCTTTCTTCATTAAATTTCCCTTCTGTTATAATGCGGGTAAGCGCTGATATCATGGTGATGGCTTTCCCGCACCTTTTTCTAATTAAAAACCACCCCCCCGCCACCCTCTCATTGACAATTGACATTGACATTAACATTGACATTTCTCTTTTCCATTTCCTTTATTCACATTTATTACTCAAAATAGCTATGGCAATTCATTTCCTTGAAGTTAATGTTATATATCGAGTAAGCCCGTGGTTCGAATTTTATGCTGCTTTTCTATACGGAATCTTTCCCCTTCCGAACAAAAAAAAATAAACATGATAAAGATGATAATACACCCCGCTATAACCCATTACCAGTTAAGCCTACTCAGCTTATACTATACTATACTGGGTTATATATTTCCTCTACCCCACTTGGACTGCTACATAGTACATGAAGGACGTACATGGACATACATACATAAACACCGCCCCTCTTCCTGATCAAGTCAAGAGGAAGAAAAAAAGCTTTGACCTACCAACTCTAGTAAGGGAAAAGGAAAGAAAGAAAAACCTAAACCAGATAAATACTACCGCCCTCTATTTATTGCTTAGTTTTTAATAATTAAGAGTTTACTTTCTTAATGGAGTAAGAAAGGGTGTACTATTGTGTCTCTTTTGATCAGCTTATATTCTTACCATATGCTAGTTAGTTAGCGAACACGGCACAAAGTGTGTATCCCCTTTGGCAGACGGAATGGTTAGGTTGAACCGATAAAAGAGAAATGATGGGTTAAGTCGGAGTGTTTTTTTCTCTCTCTTAATTCGATGTATCCACTTCTCAGCTGGAAAGTATGTACAATGCATAGGTACTTACCCACAGGGCCCGGTGAAAGAGGGATGTATGAGTATCTAGATCTCTTGAAAGAAGATCACATTAGATATCGATCATAGCATCATCTCCTTCCTTTTAGTTTTCGTGTGCTTGCTGGCAAGGAAAAGGGAAGGAAAAAAACATCCGATGATAGTTTGTACACGTATGTATACTCCTAGGATTCTACTATATCATTTCCCTATCATATGTCGAGCGAGAAAAGAGAATCCAAATGAGGATAGACCCGGAACCACCGTAAGATATCCATCTCTTTCTCTTTTTGGGTTGTCTTGAAGTGTCGTCAAACGTTGGATTTCCTCGGTGAGACATAAAAGACAGAGAGAGAGCCTCGGACCCCTCTCGGATCGAGGTGTAAGCGAGTTAAACCTGGCAAGCAGGTGATTCCTATTCTCTTGTAGTATGGCGTCGACCGGCTTTGACCACGAGAGCCATGTACAGGTACGCCGCTGAGTATACACAGATCAATCATTTGCATCGATATCCACAGATTTATGTATGTACATCAATCTAGGCGGGAAGGAAAAAACCGCATAATCGATCGCGCTATCAAAAATCAAAAGGCTGAAGAACTCGAATTGATGGATTCCCAAATTCTAATCGATCGAACCCGTCAATCGCGTAAAAGCCGCAAAATAAAAGAAAGCGGTTTAGTTTCGAAACTAATTCAATAACGCTATCAAACACTTCATGACCGCGCGCGGGCCAGCCAGCAAACGATTGCCACATCATATACTTACTTAGTTGTATCTTTTTCTTCTTTCTCTCTTTCCCTTATATTCACTAGAGCCATGGTACCGTAAGGTTAGAATCGGATGTATATGTACTTACAAGTCACCAATTTAAAGCAATGCAATAAAAAAAGCTAGGATTCTCTGTAGTAAAAAGGATTAGGGTTAAAGTTATTAAATAATAATTACCTACTGACTTACTGACTTATCTATCGGGTGATTGTTGTTTGATGCGCTGGAACCGTACATCAATACATCTAGATCGCAATCCATGATCATCGTCATCATCATCATCATCACCCTCTTTTTCGAAGTGGGTCTGTCGTTGGACGGCATATGCAGTGTGATTACAGGTGTGATAAGAAACAGACATCGACATGGGGAACATACCCTCGGGATCCCAGTGCTAGGGTTTTTATGTGTCTACCCGGGGAGAGGGGAGGGGGCGTTAGTGCACGTGCAGGGTTAGATGTGGGGAACCCTCCCTCCTCCCTCCCAGAGCTATACATTCGATCGATCCCCACGGGAAAAAAAATCAATTAAGGCCTTGAAAAACAAAATGTGACAACTGGCGAACAGGGAAAAAAGGTAATCGACTTTTTGGACAGTCGCTAAGTTCGGAATTTAATATATTTTGGCGGGAACGTAAAAATAATAATCAAAAAGTGATATCTCAGCACCGAACAAAAATACATTAAAAGATTGAGGGAAAACTCGACCAGGTTCCCGCACCTACTAGAGCAAGTTAGAATCTACATAGTACATATACATACATTGAAAAAAAAAAGTCGTTAGGGATCTAGGGTTTAATTTAATATATCATTTTCTCCTCTTTCTTCTCAACAAAGCTGCAGAACGGTCTGCGGTGCAGAAAGATAAGCTTAAAAAAATATATTACCTACATCCGCCGGCAGGGAAAGGAACCATCAGACGAAAACATATATTAACACAGCACATCTGCCAGCAAGATGCCTGTCCTTCCATTTCCCCTCTTCGAATTCTTCTTCATCCTCTTCCCTCAACCAAATATTTTTTTTTGTTTTCGTGGAGAAGTTCGAAGGAGGTGAAAAACAATTGGATCGGGACTTGGCCATAGTTCTGCTCATGCACAAGGGAAGGAAGGCCAGCTCCTGCAACCTGCAAACATGACAGACGTCGTGCATCACATTTCTTCGAGACGAACGAAGAAAGGAAAGAAGAACTCCTGAACTCCTACGATAAGCTATGCTGCCTTTTGATGACAGCCAACCATATGTGCATGTCGTTACGATCTCCTCGTTTGATTTGGAAGTAAGAGAACAACTTAAGTATCATTTGAATAATTAACGTCAAGGTGCGCTGTCTTTGATTCCCGAAAATATACCGGAATCATTTCGGCGCATGACCATGGCCTAGTAATACATGCAAAAGGAGTAAAAGGGAAGAAGAAGAAGAAGAAGAAGAAGGGCAAAGAGTTAATGAAGTGGAAGGGTTTGCCCGGGAAGCAGAAGTTAGACATCCATAAAATGCCTGTTGCTTCCAGATCTCGCTTGTTAATTTATTTTTGAAAAAAAAAAAAAAAGGATAACGATAACGATGATAACTTTTGAGAGTGAAGAGAGTAACTCCAAAATGCGCCCGGAAATGCCAACACAACGCTCAATCAACATGGGATGTAGTCGGCTGCGAAGAATTCAATAGTAAAGAAAGACGGCTAGCTCTAGTTAGGAGTGGTGGGTGGCTCCCAAACATGGACGATTGGCTCTCTCTTTCTCCTTGGGGCCTGGGGCTGAATGGGAGCTTCGGGGGCGGTTGGGCCGGGTCGCGGGGCCATGGGAGTCGGGGGACTAGGACTGGTTGGAGCCCGAGACTCTTGTTTAGTTTCGATAACAGCAACTGTGCTGATCGGGTCCTCAAGCTTGAGGCTGTTGAGGACTCTATCGATATCATCGGTGCCGCTGCTAGAATCCTGCTCCCATTGGCCAAGTTCATCCAGGCCTAGGATGGGATCGGTTCCTGCCATCTGATTGTTGTCCCCCTCGTCCCCGGGGTCTTCCGTCCGCTCAGGGACTGGGCCGTTGTAGAGGATGTCACTGAGGGCTCTGAGAGCCGATGGCATTAGCTTATTGCCATAGTGAGCGACGACCTCGTCCTCATCAATCGGATTCCCGATGTAGTAGCGCATGATATGGTTGCATGCCATATCTTCGCATTGAACCTGGGAGGCCAACTCCCACCATGGAGGCCGGGCGGGCTGATTCGATCGTTGGAGTTGGCGTAGGAAGTTGACGAACTCTTCCAGGTGAACATCACCCGTATTCGAGTCCCGGTAGCAGCCGGCTCGAATACCAGAGATGTTCTTTAGGTCCTCGATGCGAAAGCGGTAGCAATCGATCAGGCGTTCTAAAACCTATGATAACAATGTGATTGTTAGCAATTGCAGTTTTTTTGGGCATGTGGCAAATATGAAACACATATATGTATATACCTCTTGGTGGTCCTTTGGAGAGATGACCAGCTCTCTGACCAAAGGCATTGGGTCACCTTGGTCTGCCATTTCAATGGCCTGGCTGAGAGTAACCTTGTGGGCAGCACAAACTTCTTTGTGCTTGCGACTAGCGGCATTCATGCAACTCATGCTACAATAAAAAACGATCTTACAGTCGAAACAAGTTTGCGTGGTGAAATTTCGTCCACAATTATCACAGGGACCTTGTGGACGAGGTGGAGGTTTGTTGGCACGTGTAGCCTTATTGTTTCTAGGGTGGCCGGCCGGACGGCCGCCACAAACTTGCGGCATGTTCCTCCCGCGACGAAGGTTTCTAAGGCGGCCAGCTCTAAAATTTGGGCCAGCAACTGTGACGTGAAGGGGTCAGCAAGATTTGTAACGTATAATAGTTAAATGTAAAGGGGTTTGTGATACTTACGGTCGATGAATTTGAAAATCACATTGTGGATAGCACCAAGTGCATTGGTATCCCCAACCCAGCCAAAGTAACCGTTGCCACGTTTCTCAAAAGCAAGAGCGGCAGAGGTATTATCTTGGGATTGATCAAACTCCTTGCAGATGTAGAGACGGGACCTATCATCCACACGACCTACCAAAACAGCTGTCATTTGTAGCTCCATCCCGATATTTGAAGCGCGATGAATCCCATCCAAAACATCACAGGTTTTATGGAGCTCGAATTTGCCCTTGTGAATTGGTCCGATATCCCACCCGAGGTTGAACGCGTTCAGAGCCATGTGTCTGAATTTTTCCGTGTCGACGGTACGAGGGAACTCCCCGCACATGATGAATGCAGCACCGTATTCTACGATGAATGCTACTTCATTTTGTAGGCGTCGGTAGGCTGGATTGGCGAACTCCGAGTCTACGACAAGGATGAACGCTGGATGTTTGGTGTTGATGAACTCAATGGCGTCATCTGCCGTTTTGACGATAGACAGACCAATAGTCTGTTTGATCCGAAACAAAAACTCGCCATGACGAAATTGTATGGCTTGACTCTCTGATTGAGAACCGAGCTGGATGACCAGGACCTCCGAGTTATCAGGGAAATGTTTTAAGGTATCTTGCTTACCCATTTTGAGATTATTCTGCGGATAGCTTGAAAGAGGAGCGGAGTTGAAGGGAGGAGGATAACCAAACGAGAAGAAACTTGAAGCCTAAGAAGAGCGAGGTCAAAAATGACTAGCTTCAAGAGTTGGTGGCCGTGTTGGTGACCAAGAACGAGCAAACAATGATGGCGATTCAGATTCTTTGAAGTACTTGAGGAGCAGAGGAGACGGAAGAACAGACGGGGAATAGAATAAGAAGCTATATGTAGAAATAATAAGAGGAGGACTAGTGTGCTTACGCGTTTGTGGATTTGATGATAGCTTTGAAGAAGATGTTGATGAAGCTTGAGAGCGTAGTGAGCTAGATAAAGGTGATGGGGAAGGAGACAAGAAGGGAGACGGAGTGGTCCTTAAATAATCAACAACGTGACGTCTGACTCTCGGCTAGTGTGGTAAAAGGGGAGTGCAAGTGTGTAAACGTACAAAGGTGTAAACAAAGATCGTGATGGCGATGGAGTTGAGGTTGAAGCCAAAGGATAAAAACTTGAGGCGGAGACGGCGACGACAACAATATCAACATCGACACGAACATCTTGGCATTCAAAAAGGTGTTGAGAGTGTTGGATGTCCGGATTAGGAAACGCCCTGTTCGGGCAATTGTCAACGTCGTCCGTGACGTCATGATATCTGTTCAAGAGTTCTGTTCGACAAGCCTAAGAGTCTAGATTGAACTATTTGATTTCATTTTGGACGGTCGCAGTTTTCAGCGACTCCGCAAGTCGTCATTTTCCGGAAATCAAGGATTCATTCGCCATTATATCATTCGTACCATCTGGTACATTTGTGTGGTAGGTAAAATGTATATGGCTGGTGCGGTGTTGTATTGTATATAAAGCGTCGAACAGACCCGGAGACTTTAATCCATTTTAATCCCCCTCTTTTCCTTCCTCTCCCGCTTTCCATTTCCATCGTTTTGAGCCTCGTTCACAGATATCATATTAAATCCCCTTTTTTTCCGACTTGCTTGCTGATATCTTTATATTTAACCTCAGCCAGCTAAGCCAAGCCAGCCGGTAAGTGACGTCCACTCAGGATCAGGGATCAGTACCCGGACTTGTTTCATCTGGCGCGGAAACCACCACGCCCAACGCAAACGACTGGTCACCACCATCTCCACCGTCTCATCAACCCTTCAATCGAATCGAATCCATCAAATCGCCAAACGTTTAAACATAACCCATCGCACGCGTATTACTCACCACGCGTCTGTTACAGCCCCGTTTCAGACCTCTTTATAAACGTCCTTGTCTACTTAAACCATGTAAGTCTTTCTTTTCTCTCCTTCATTCTCTTCTTCTTCCCATCCAAATTCCAATCTATTTCATTCCATTTAATACGCACTATAATACTTTTTAATAATAAATTCTACAAAAATGACTTCCCTCCCCCCTCCATACTCCGCCCACAAATTCTTCTCGAGACGCACAGAACCTGCCGAATATCCTCCAGGCTATACTCCCGGTGGCCTCTTCACCAAATATGCTAATACTCCCGAAAAAAGGAATCGTTCTCTCTCCCTCCGTTCCAAGAAGGCCCACCAGGGCAATGACTCTGGCGGTGGCGGTACCACTCGTCGTTTCGGATTCGCTTCTATGAGAGCTAGCACCCAACCTGAACTCTCCAAGAAGCTCTACCGTTTGTACGTTAACCACCGAATATAAATCCGATAACATGTATAAAAAGCCATAAGACTAATTCATACGAAAAGAATCAAATCCGAAAACCACGTCATAAGTGCCCACACTTCCGCCGGCCGCGAACAAATCTCTATCGCTGCCCAGCTCTCCGACTGGGGTCTCTCTACAAATGATGACGCTATTTCCGACATCTCCGACAAAATCGGTGTCATGCTCTCCGAACTTGGAGAATTGGAAATTACATACGCTCATAATCTAGAAGACTTCAGATCCGTTCTAAAATCCGTTAGAAACGTCGAAGCTTCCGTCCAACCCAGTCGTGACAAACGTGCCAAAATCACAGATGAAATCCAACGACTCAAATACAAAGAACCTCAATCCCCGAAATTAGTCCAGTTGGAACAGGAGTTGGTTAGAGCCGAAGCGGAGAATCTTGTAGCGGAAGCACAACTTTCCAATGTTACCCGTCAAAAGCTGAAGGAAGCTTATGCATCACATTTCGCAGCTGTGGTTGAACGTTCCCAGAAGCAGGAGATCCTAGCTAAACATTCGAGACGTATTTTGGCGCTTCTTGACGATACTCCTGTCGTTCCTGGTGATGCTAGACCCGCTTATGATTTGGAACGCGATGCTAGGCAGATTTTGGCGGATGCAGAAGAGGATTTGAGAAATTGGACTTTGGAGTTAGAAGAGGTTCCTACGAACGCTAGTTTGGATGCTGGAGCGATGCCCAGTTTGGCTAATACTAGTATCGTTTCTTCGGTTAATGGCCATGCGAACGGGGAGCAGGTTAACCTTCAAGGAAGTGATGCTGCAGAGTCGAAGCAGGAGGTTGTCGTTTAGATTGCCTTTTTTTTATATGTCTATTACCAAGGTTCACGGGGCCTTAAGAGATCGAATATTGTGTTTTGGAGGGATGGTACGGTGTTTTCTTCTTTTATTATTATTATTTTAGTTTTTGTTTTTCCTGGACCTGGCGTTTACCTCCATGACTTCCTTCGACCTCTTTACTGCTGGGTTGTTTTTTTTAAAAAAAACTTTTATAGGAAGCTTCTTTTTTTCTGGGAACTCCGTCACTGCTTGATTCGCAGCGGCGTCGCTACGGTTTTGTTAATCCTTTTTATTTCTTTGATTCTTTTAGCCTTCTTTCTTTCCATCCTTCCCTTCCTCCCTCCTTTGTCTTTTGTAGCTCTCGAGAAAGAGCGGTATTGATATGATCGAAAAGCATACATGAAATGATATGAACCTTTTGCCTGATACATCTTATTGCGGTGAATTCATGAAGTTTAAAATGGTACGCGTGCACGCATGCACGTGTGATACCGGTCTAGCTAGTACCTCAATTGACTATCGATATGTATATATACGGAAGCTAGCCAACTGGTCGTTGTAAAGCTAGGGTTATCTACGTAATTACTACTTATATATACATATACCCACCTAGATAAATTTAAATAGCGGATCCGATTGAATTAAAGACAAGTTTTAAATATTATTTAATCATTTTCTGTCTATCTTTCTAACTAAGTTCCGCACATAGATGTAAAAGGGTTAGACATAGCTACAGATGATACCGTCTAGTCACAAAAACAAAAAGTGAAACTCCACACTCCACAGGTCAAGTTAAAACAACAAAAAAAAAGAAGAAAAAGGAGGGAAGAGTCAGGATCTTATTAATACACATAGGAAGTCGGTAGGGGGGGTGGGGGTCGAAAGAAATACAAACAAAGCGTGAGCAAAACACGATCAAGGTAACCTGAAGGCTCCTAGGAGAAAAGGATCCTACAATAGGTCATCTTGAGACCACCCCATGAAAGGAGTTTTACTTTTCTCCGTGAAAGGGTTGTTCCGTTCACGAGTATCATTACTGTTCTACATGAACTGATCTGTGAACGATTCTTCCGCTCCAAGAAGGTCCATCACCTCAGCTGCTGCTCCACCACCCCCAACGAAATCAAAGTCATCCACGTCGTCACCGCCGGTCATACCCTCGAGTATATTTTCTTCGCCGGGGACTGTGGGTGGCTCCTCTAGTTTTCCAGGTGTCGAGGCTTGCTGTAATGGGTTCGGAGTGGCTGATTTGCCTGGTTCTGCGGTTGCTGGGAGAGGAGTTGGAAGACCCGGGGTTGGGTTTCGAGAGCTAGGACCTGTTGGGAAGACTGGCGATGGCGATGGGATTGCGAATGGCGACAGGCCTGGTGTACCGATGCTGCTACCAGGAGCTTGTGCCTGTGCCTGTACATGTGTCTGGGGTTGTACCGGCAATGCATGCGAGGTGGAGGTAGTCGCAGGGATAGGTTCAGCATCTGTCATCGGTGTATCCTCGGTACTATTACTGGCCGGGGCGTTGGCTACGGGGGGAGGTTGGGCGCCTTCAGGAGGAGGGGATCCTAGGTTGGTTTTCTGAATTACCACGGGGACAAGGTACCTAGCGGTATCGGGGGAGGAGGTACTTTCAACTTGGGCGACGCCCGCCATTTTATCGGCATTTTGGTCCGTCTGACCGTTGCTGTCGGCGGCATTGTTTGCGGAGGAGGAAGAAGAGGTTGTTGCCGATGCTGTTGTTGCAGCAGCAGCAGCCTCTGCCGCGGCTTTTTGTGCAGCTGCGGCTTGCTGGGCCGCCTGTTGGGCCGCCTGGGCAGCCTGGGCGGTTTTCTGTTGTTCCTCATACTCGGCGAGTTCTGGTTGAGGGTTCATCACGTGAACCATCTCGCGATCTACGACCTTGCAATCGTACATTGTTTCGAATTCTTGAATGATAGCATCTAGTGGGCGGGCGTTGGGGATTTGGTGGGAAGGGTCCGCTGGTGCTGGAGTGACCAAGTCGTACTTGATCTCATCCGGGGTTGGAGGGATGGATCGGACTTCGTTGATAAGATATCCCAGACGCTTCATTTTTGCGAAGGCCTGAAGTTCCAACTGGTGCTTTCGTTGCATTTCTTCTATCTCGGCATTGAGGTCGGATTGGTTCTTATCGAAACGTTCAGTCATTAATGATACAGCCCCGCGAAGGGACTGGCCATTGGAGGGTTTCCCATCCTTCTCAAAGATGCCTTCGACAAGTGGTTTCAGCCAGCTTCCGAGTAATTCGATTCCGATTGAGCCCGGTTCGATGTTGGAGATGTTATGAGTGCTAGAGACAACCTGTTCGAGCCATTCATGATGCTGCTTGTAGCGTTGAGTGGCTAGTTCTCTAGGAGGAATGTGGTCGAGAACGTCGCCACGCGAGGTATCTTCTTCATCCTCGACAGAATCCATTGCCGCAGCCATCATGGGGTTGGTCGGACCGGCAGAGGCCATAGATTGGGATGTTCTCTGGCGCTTAGCGGTCGATGGACCAGCTGGGGTCTGGGGAATCATCTGAGGGCCCATGGCATAGTGGGGTGCCGGGGTGGGTTGGCCACGCTGCGGATGAGGGCGAGTGGGAGTCTGCATCATTTGGGGGTGAGGTTGATGATGCTGTTGCATGTACTGAGGGGGGACTTGATGGGGAGAGTAGTACTGCATGTTTTGGGGCATCATTTTGGGTTTCCTTTGGCGGTTAAGTTAAAAAAAAATAATAAAGCTAATCGGCCCCGAAAAAGAAAAGGCTAAGCTAGATCCTGTAGCTAGTCAATGGAGGCTACCTGTATGGTGGAAGGGTGACCCAGGTCGATGGTGGATCTTGTCAGACTTGGAAGAAATCCGGTCGACGGGGGAGGGATTGGACGGATGGGGCGAAGCGAGCGATGTCCAGAACGGTTAGATGTTTACCTACTAGCAAGTAAGTAGTACGGGCGAGGACGGAGGATTATTTCAGGAAGGAGCTCGACTGGCGCGTTCTCGTCTATGTAGCTTGGGCGAATTCAAGTCTTGAAGCTTCGAAGCTTGGAGGGATGGTGTGTTTCGCGATGGAACTAGTTCGCGTTAGCATGTGGTGTCTGTGGAGCAGTTTTGTTTGAAGGTTGGATGCATGCATGTTCTAAAGGAACAATGTCGGATTGAAAAGGCAAAACAAAAATGACTACTTACATTGAATATTCGGGTATTTTGAGACTACGAGATATTGATTGAAGGAGTTAGACTCGCGATGAAGTTTTGAAGTTTTGAATTTGAAGCCCGAAGTCGAGATGATGTTGATGTTGTTGATGTTGAGGTTGAATGTCGGGCGTTGATGCTGAAGATTTGGAGAGACCAGCAGACGTTGTTGTCTAGAGTAGGTTTGTGTTGAGACGACGTTGTCCGAGTCAAACACAACGCAACAACACACCGTTCTACCACACAACACAACACATTTTTTGCATCAAAAAAGAGTCGAGATCTTGAAGACGTCTCCGAGTCTCAACGCCCTCACCATCCTACCAACCGAAAATCATCATCGCGTCTTCATTGAAAGCAAAAGATTTCAGAGCCGTCATAATATCACCAGAATCAAAATGGGGACACTCAGTAACCTCCCAATCGAGCTTAAGCTTGAGATTATGAAGAACCTTCCACAACAGGCTCTTGGGAACTTATCTCATTGCTCAAAAGAGTTCTACAATCTCGCTCTGCCACTACGATTCAAGGGTATCATCTTGAACGCTTCTGCTATCAAGGCCTTCAGGAACGGTGGTTTGGGCGCAGAGGGACGGTACTCAATCCGGTACGTACTTACGGAAGCACCCCGCAATCCAATGACTAATACTGATTGAATATATCTTGAAACTGATAGCTCTGTCTGCTTCAAGAGGCCTGGAGACTGGAGATCTACAAAGAACCTCGATGAACTCTGTCGCTCAATCAGTGCTTTGAAATTGTTTCCAAATCTCAAGAAGCTATCTGTATCATATTCAGTACCCTCATGCATGGAGAGGAATATTTTTATCTGTCTCCTGGACGGGGTCATCGCTTGCAGCAGCAGATTGGAAGACCTACAAATCAATGTCGTCGAGGTCGGTTCAGCACCAGGAGCCTATCAAGTATTCTACGAAGGGCTGTCCAAGTTATCTCAGGACATGCTGGGAGCTGTGATCGATGATAAAAATGTTTGGCAACAGTCAATGAAAAAGTCATCGCAAATGGCGCTACCGGCCTTGGCCTCAGTCAAGCTATTCCATCCATCGATCAATACTCCTCTACAGAACTTCAACAGTCCTGTTTGTCGCCTCAGGGGATACTACTACACCATTTTTGCGATGGCAGATGCGCCTAAACTCCGCGGGCTTGCCATCAAGACAGACGCCCATTTTGGAGAACTCACCCTATCTCGCAGCAACGGATATATTAGTGTCGGGCTTCTATCAAAGTTCTCAAGAATAACAGATCTGGAAATATCCCAACCAATTGCACCAACCGACTCGGATACCGAGATTCTTACGATTAGATTTCCAAATCTCAAAAAGCTTTACATCCATGCCACGAACTCCCGGGCCCGAGAACTCGGCGCCATACCGAAAGGTCCATACGCCTCAATAATTAGGTTGCAGCGTTTGGAGTATTTGTTTTTACCGTGGCCCACGCATCCCCAACGGGGACTCATGAGCGGTGATGTCCTAAAAAGTAAAGTTCGAAGGTGGGCAAAAGAAGGTCTAGATTTGAAGAGAGTTGATTTTGAGGGCACCAGGAAAGTTGAGTGGAAAGATAGAACTGAATGGAATCGTGCCTTAATAACCTTTGTACCTTCACCTTTGGGAGGAGGTATTTGGGAGGCCCATGGGAGTACTTCTGCGCAGAGTCATTCGGATTTACGCGATGACCCCGATTTGCCCTACGATATGCCTATGGACTATGATTTCGATATGCGTTTGGAATCCACGGAATAGACGCCACCCTGGATGTTTTTTTCTGTCGCATTCTATCGATATAGTGTATTAGCGTTTTGGCTACGGTTGTTTTTATAGGGGGTTATTGTTTACAATTAGCTCGAGGTTGCATGGCGTCTACACAAGGGGAATTATTATGCGCTCTGCAGCTCTGTGGTATCGATCGAAACTAATGCAATGCAATGCACCAACTCGTAATTGAAATGCGAAGCGTTTTAATACAAGACTAATTGAAATGGTCCGAAATTGCCAAAACCTGACTTTAAAAATTTAGTAAAGAAAACAAAACAAAAGAAAAACAGGAAGGATATTTATCTATTTATTTTGGATCCCAAATTAATGCTACAATGCTTCGTCATTGATAGTATTGATTATAAGGTATCTAACATAATAGTGATTGACATGCATGGCGTGGTTGAAACCATAAACATGACGGTAATTATAAAAAGGTATGCAATTGTTGAGGGACGCTGCCAGCCACGTGCGATCCCAATCTAACTCAGTGGACCATCTATCGAATTATAAACCGTCTGTAACAAATTTCAATTTTTAAAATAATAAGAGAAAATGTAGAAGATATATAGTTCAAGAGGTAGTCTGTATAGGTACCTTGGATGAGGTGTGGACATGTATTATTGCCGTTTTGGGATTTTACTTTTTCCAAACGAACTAGGTCGGAAACGAACGCCAACCCGGCCAGATGACCAGCCGGCATTTGCATTTGCATTTGCAGTTGCATGGTCGACGCAATCAGTCAAATCAAATCAAGTCAAATCATGGCTAAGTAGGTACTTAAGTACATATAAGCTAGTAGCTGTCAGGCAAGCAGGGAGGGAACGAGGACATCACATATGTATGCAGCCCATCCATGATATGATCCATGATATGATCCATGATATGATCCCATCCCATCGACCGCGACTCGACCCCGCTTTAACTTCGATCAGATCATGGAATACGTGTTAGATAATGAAACAGGTCACACATGGACTTTTATCCAGGAGAATGTTATGCTCTGTAGATAGTATGTAATTTGTGGGTGAATGTCGAAATGTAAATATGCACGATCTGGTGGTGGTGCAGTGATGAAACAGAGTGTGGCAGGCCCTGAGAGTTTCAAGATCGAGAGAGTGCTGCTGATAAGAGAAGACAATTGCGGGCATGAACGACCGAACTAACGAATTAACGAGCAACTGACCGAACGAATGAACAAATGAACAAATGAACGAATGGACAGACAGGGGGGAGTGCAGGAAAACATACTGCCCAGTCTGTCTGTCTGTTGGGAAGAAGTAGTCTCAAAAGTGTCTGCGGGTACATGTCCGGAAGGAGAATTCAATTCAATTCAGCACCGCGACATTCTTCCTCGGTCCCCTTTCTTCTCTTCTTCTTCTTCTTCTTCTTCTTCTTCTTCTTCTTCTTCTTCTTCTTCTTCTTTCTCTTCTCCACCTCTTTTCTCTTCTTCTTTTTTCGCTTCAATCCTTTCCCTTCTTTTATATTATCAGCTACCGGTCCTATTTAATTTAGAGTGGATAGATTCAGTATACTATACTTATACTTACTGTCACCCGTAACACCAGCGACAGCAAGCAACATCATGCCTCTTTTGTAGTTAAACTTCCCCCTGTCTTCCAAGCCAAGTATAAAATAGTATATACCTACCTACCTAGTAGCGGGCAGTTTGTTCTGTGTATAGTTTGAGATTATTTATTTATCACCACCAACATTCAACGTTCAACGTTCAACATTCAACCTTCAACCTTTCTCCCCGTTCAAACCACCGAACATTCTTCAATTATCCTTCGATCGCAGGCCGACGTCGCTTTCACACAACAACAGGGCATCATGTCGGTTCATGCCCCTGATACCGCCTGGTCGGCCTCTTCTTACTACAACCACCACAACCACAACCACAACCACGGTCACAATCACAGCCACAGCCACAACAACCACCACCATAGATCTGGTGGTTCTACTCCTCCCCCTCCTCCCCCTCCCAAGGATGCTCCTCTGACTCCACCTTCCTCTGCCTTCGACTCTCCCAGTCTGAAGGTTTCCAACTACGAGGAAGAAGATGAAGGCGATGACTTCCAGCGATATCTCGCCCAGTCGTACCGAGAACAAGAAGATGAATACAGACCCCCTTCTGAAGAGGAAGAAGACAAAAATAATGGCCACTCTCTTCATCGCGCCGCTTCAATATACTCCCTCTCTCGCACTTCCTTCGCTGCTCAATTGTCGCGCCTCACTTCCCTCTCCATGCCTCTCGGAACCGACCTTAGATCTGAAATCACATCTCTCCCTTCTGCCAAAGCTGGCATCGACAAGCTCGATAGCGCCTACTCTCAAATGCAGCGCTGGATGCAGACCGCCAAGACCGTCCTGCAGGGCATGGACGCCTCTGACGATGTCGAGTGGGCTGCCGAGGGTAAAAAGTCTCTTGGAGACGTCGAATCTGCCATGAGAAGCTTTGAAGGCCTCGTCAAGGTCTATGTCGATAGCATCGAATCCATCCAAGACCGCCCGGATATCAACACTGTCGAGCCTCCTTCTCTCAAATCTGTCATTGACCAGATGGATATCACTGTAAAACAATGGAAGGAGGTTCAGGATCTCTTGCACGGTGTCAAGGCTCAGGTCGAAACCGCCATGGAGTGGACCGAACTCTGGAACTCCATCATGAACGATATCCAGGCCGAACTCGACGCCTGCATCAACTGTGTTTTCGAGTGCGAGGAGAAACGAAACAGAGTCCATACCCAGGAAAACCTCGATATCGACAAGCTGGCCTCCATAGTCGAGGGTGAGAAACAAAACAATAAGATCTCGCCGGAGAGGGAGGATATGTCCACTGCCCTCTTGGGTCTCTTTGCCAGGATGCAACCATTACGAGCTAGTCTCGATTTCCTTCCCATGCGTATACAGCAGTTTCAGTATCGTGCCGAAGAAGTTTTCCCGACGGCTTGTGAAGATTTGGAAATGCGAAGAGAACAGCTTGAGAAGAAATGGAAAAATCTCGAAAAGGACGCTGATGTCTTGAAGAAAGAACTCGGAGAGGATAAATGGGTTGCTATATTCAGGAACGCTGGAAAACAAGCTAGCAACATGATGGAGAGCGTTGAGCGGAGCATCTTTAAGGTCAAGGTTCGCACTCAAGACGCCTCCAACATCACAACTGACGGCTCTCTCCTCAAACTTGTCGAAAACTACGAGACAAAACGAACACACTACGGTAAGTAATATGTCTGCATGGGATTAGAGGTATATCGAGATAGTTAGCTAACCTTTTTTTTTTCCCCCACACAGGCTCTGCGATAGAACGTGTGCTCGGAATCGTCAATAAAGGCATGCAAGATAGGCTGACCGTTAACGGGGAGATCATTCGTCTCCACACCGATCTTCAAGCCCACTGGAAGAACATCGAACAGGAAATGCAGGATTTGGATACTCGACTGGCCTCAATTGACCTTTCGCAACCTCAAGACATGCTTCCGACCCCGGTCTCCACCTCAGCTTCTCACTTCGCTGATGAATTGTCATCGAATGGCTCCGTCGGGAGTACTGGTAGAGCAGCCGGGCAGAATATGAAGCGTCATTCGATAGCCATGACACCCTCTGCAAACTCTCGACTACCCCGCCTCCGTTCCATATCTGGAGCTTCTTCCTTGAAGACTCAAATTCCTGTCCCGAATTCACCGATCTCCCCAAATACGGCCTCCCCGAACCCAGCTTCCAGAAGATTATCGGTATTACCTGTTCTAAACACCCCAAAACCACCAAATCCTTCTATGCTTTCCCCTACGACTTCCAGAGGAAGTTCGCCTTCTCTCACCTCTCGCCGTCTCTCCTACCAAACGCCACCAAACCGACCCACACTCTCCCGCAAACCCTCGAACCCTGGCTCCAACGACGGCAGACCGCGCTGGAACGGTTCCACAAACACGTCTGGCAACGGTTTTGGGCATAACTTTAAACCCATTACCGTTACCGAACCAAGTCCTTATCGTATGGACACCGGCATACCGTCGCCATCTAAACTCCCACGTTCGGGAGACATGTCTCCGCTCACGACACGACCTACCCCTTCGTCGAGTAGGAAGTATCCCCCAACATCGATGAGATCACAGCCATCCCATGACTCTATTGGAAGTGTTGGGAGCGGTGGCCGAACCAGCAGAAACGATAATGGGTCGGCTTTTAGCAAAGCTTACTCACACGTTAGAAGTAGCGGGTACGGCCGACCATCAAGTGCACTGGGAAAGAATAACAGCCCCAGCAAGATCCCGACCCTGACAACAAGTATGCCTTCCGCCAGAAGTGGAACACCGGAGCCGCCGATGTCTGCTAGAACGCCTGCATCAAAGCGATTCTCAATGCCACCAATCAGTAAGAAACCAGGATCGGTCGATTTAAGACCGGGTTGGAAATGAGGTAAACTCTCCCAGGATATCATAGTCAACTCCTTTCATACCGTTCCTTAACTCGAGAGCCTATTTTTCAAAGATTTTTTTTATTTTACTAGTCTGGCCTCGACACGCCTTTCCCTTGAAATCATTCTTATTACGTGGGTCTACCATATCGATTTTTACAGTTTTCAGTTCTTGTTGCAAAAAAAAAAGCCGTGCGTCAGGGATATACGGAGTTTATGTTTTTTTGTTCTATTTTCCTCCTCGTGATGCTTTTCCTTTTTATAAACTGCTCCATCTATTTTACTGGCTTTCGTCAAATATTAGTAGCTAAAGTAGTTTTGGATGCCACCACCATCGCCTCCCACACCTGGAATACTTTCTTTTCTTTCTTCTCTTATTATTGCTGGTATGCCTGGGGGCGGGGGTGTTTCTTTTCTTTCCTTTGAATTTCTCTACGGGTTTGTTCTGTTCCGGTTTGAATAATGTCTAAACATCGGTATCGGGGTATAAAGTGGATACCTGCTGGACGCTTAGAAATGGAATGGAATAATATAGTGCCAGTGCGCTTTCTTTTCGACGAATCTGAGCTATACGTATGTAATACAAGATGAGACTGTCTGTGAAGGTAGCATGTAGACTGTGATAATATTATATAGTAGTGTCGTTAATTCTACACTGCCAGTTGAGCTAAATGCGGCTCTGCATTGCCAAGCATCGCATCTTCCCACGCACGTCGGGGCGGCACTAGATCTAAACGCACCTTCAAACCACCTTCATTCTCCCTTCTCACCAACATCCACCAACCCACAGCTTCCTCACCATCGCTATATATTCCCCTCCTACACCTTCCAACCACCAAGCGACCACAGTGAACTATCAATTCCGGTTCTTACACATGTGCGACTTTGGTTTCTCGTAGTCTGTCGACCGGTTGCAGAGAGTCCCGACGCGGCTCGATAGCTCATACCCGACACTATAAAATCCCACTGCCAAATCCACCACCCCTCTTACTACGCGTCGACCCTCCGCACCCAAACCAAGCGCGAAATCAACGTAGCTCAGACTAGCCACATTATACGATCTTAAAACTCCCTCGCAGACAACTCTACCTCCCAAGTCATGTCGGCCAAACCGTCCAATCCTCCAGAGATAGAGGATGAGGAAAAAGCCATTGCCAACTTTCTCGAAAACCCGGACATATTGGATAATTTCCTTGCTGAAGGTGCCGGAGGAAACCAAGAGAAGGCAGATGATGCCATCGACTTTGGCGACATTAGTGACGATGACGATGACTTGCCCGACGAAGAACCTATAGCTAGGAAAAAACGGGCTGGTAGCGCTGATAGCGAGAACAGTCTTATGGACCTTGCTGCCGAAGGTCATGTCGTTTCATCACCCCTACTAGGGCCTGACCATAGAATGGTAGATGCCGACGAAGACCTCTTTGGTGATGCTGCTCTCGATGATCTCTTTGGGAATCACAAAATCGACGAGATCCACCCTCTACCTCCTCAAGACGACAAGCTCCTCACAGACGCCGTTCACTCCATGTTTAGAGATGTCGACTTTCAAAGTGCCGGATTTAGCGCTGGTGACTTCGGTGACGAAATTCCGGTCCTGGACCCCCCGGAGATGATCAAGGAGCCCAAAAAGAGGGTCGAAGAGTACTTCCCGCTGTTCAAGGAGCATGCCATCCTACCTTACCTCTCCATGTTCCCTCCAAAGCCAGCCTACTACCCCATGCGCCCAGACAAACAACCCAAGGCGCTATTCCCGACCAAACTCAACCTGGAGATAGCACCAAGTTCGGAAGCTAGCTGGCGTTCTGATAGCTACCGCCCTGTTCGAAGAGCAGGTTTTGTCTACATCGAGAACGAGATTGAGGATATTGCAGACGTTCCAGCAGCACAGGAGGCTCGGGAAGAAGAATTCAAGAAGGAGACTCAGATCCGACGGCAAGTGGATATCGCGGTTCTGGAGGAAGACTTAGATAGGGCTGCCAACGATCCCCCACCAAAACGGATCCGCCCTAAAGCGCCGTTCGAAGATGATACAGAGGGAGGAGCCAAGGTTCGTAAACGCCGGAGAGTCAACCAAGATGGCGGATCCAAGAAGAAAAAAAGGCGGTGATAGCTAACTTACATTCTCACCATTTTTTACCTTTTCTCCCTTTGGATATCACAGAAGGCGAGACTCCGTGAGCTTTTCAGGCGTGTTGAAGCCCCAGATCCATTTGAATTCGACTTATTGGACTTCGATCCAAACAAAAAGATCAAGGTTGAGCTTGATCCGAACGACCCATATCTCCTTCTCGACGTCAGAAAATCCGATGACACTCGTAAGGCGAGAAAGATTGGTGGCGAGTTTATTCGACAGAAGATCAAAAAGGACCTTACCCAGCGATATAATATATCGAATGACGAAGCGTACGACCTTCTCAAAGAAAACCACCAATCAAAGGTTCGGTCTACGATTGGCAATTTGGAAATAGAACACACCATGCCCGCCGTTCGTCTACAGACACCGTACTACAAGACTGTCCTCGGAAAGCCCGAAATGAGGTCTTTCCATAGACCGCGACTCACATTTCCTACTGAAGTTGAAATACGGTTCACGAAGGGTAAAACTCTGAAGCGTAAACATTTGAAGGGTAAATCCATTCGAGAAATTTTCCACGATACGAAGAGTTTATCACTTTCCGATAACTCAAACTTCATTTTGTTCGAGTACTCGGAAGAGCATCCCTACGTACTTTCAAACTTTGGTATGGGAAGCCGAGTCATCAATTACTACCGTCGAAAGGAGGACTCCGATGAAACGCGTCCGAAGTGCGAGCTTGGAGAACTGCAAGTTCTTATGAGTCAGGATAAGTCACCTTTCTGGAACTTTGGCAGTATTGAGCCTGGTGAAATAGTCCCGGCACTTTACAATCGTATGATCCGGGCGCCTATCTTCAAGCACACACCTGCGAATACGGACTTTGTAGTAGTCAGGAACACAGACAGCGGAGGCGCATATTATTACCTCCGAACCATCCCGTATATCTTTACAGTCGGTCAGACATTCCCAGTAACAGATGTACCGGGTCCACACTCCCGAAAAGTTACGACAGCTTCTAAGAACCGTATGAAGATGATTACATATCGTGTCATCGGAAGGAAGGGCAATCGTATTGCGGTGAAGGACATTGCGCCTCATTTCCCGGAGAATACGGAAATCCAGACCAGGCAGAAAATGAAAGAGTTCATGTCCCACCAGAATGAGAGGGAGAGTGAGAAAGGTGGTTATTGGTATCTTAAGGGCGATGATCCGATCCCCGACGAGGCAAACATCAGGACTATGGTCACACCTGAGAGTGTTTGTTTGCTAGATGCAATGCAGGTCGGAGTGAAGTATCTAGAAGATGCCGGGTACGGAAAGGCAACCGATGCAGGAGCAGGAGAGGAAGATGAGAAGGAAGGAATGAGCACCGAGGAGAAACTTGCGCCGTGGATCGCCACCAAGAATTTCATTAATGCTACACAGGGCAAGGCAATGTTACAATTACACGGCGAAGGGGATCCTACAGGGCGAGGCGAGGCGTTTAGCTTTATCAAGACGAGCATGAAAGGAGGGTTCAAAGCCATCGGCGAGAGTGTGGACGAAAAGTTGGATGCGGCGACATTGAAATTACTCGGTGGTCATTCCTATAACGTCGCTAGGCAGCAGAAAGCTTACGAGGAGACCATTGAGAAAATTTGGCGCGCGCAAGAAGCGAGTTTGAAGGCTGAAGAACCTCCAGAGTTGGATCCAGATGAGCTACAAGATGCAACTCAAGAGGGTGTTTACGGGCTTGATGATGGACGCACGCCTTATTCGGAAAGCATGACGCCTGCTGTTGCGAATAGTGCTATTGATGACGAAGCAGCCAGTCAATTTTCGAGGTTTTCGGCAAGGAATACGAAAAACAAAGTGATGAGGATTACAAGGAAGTACAAATTGCCGGATGGGAGCTACGAGATGAAGACTGAGGTCATTAGTGATCCTAAGGTGATCTCTATGTACATCGCGAAGCGTCAGGAGATTAGAACGGACAGTCTGATGAAAGATATAACAAATCTGAAGCCGACTGGTGACGCTGCTGCTGACGCTGACCGGAAAAAAGTGTATGTGGTCCTACTTCCTTCTCATGCTTTCTTTGTTTCCTTGTCGTTTCACTAGTTGGGGCCATAGCTAACTGATTTTTTTAAAACCTTGGAACAGTCTCGAAAAAGAACTCGCTCGTCTAATGAGGAACAAGGAAAGAAGACAAGCACGTGAACGACAGAATGAGAAAAAGAGAAAACAACTCGGGCTGGACGATGATGGCGCCCCTAAGGGGGGTACTACACGTAAATGCGCGAATTGTGGACAGGTCGGACATATTAAAACTAATAAAAAGTTGTGTCCTATGTTGAATGGAACGCTGGGACCTAAAGTTGATGGTTCTGGGACGCCGGGAGGACCTGGTTCTAACGGTGGTGGAATGCCGGGAACTGCGCCGGGAACACCGGCTCCTACCGCATTTTAGAACAATGCGGGAGGGATTTGGTGAGAGGTTGGCGCAGATCCGGTGTTAGAACTAGGTGTAGAACGGTGTATCAGGAACGTCCTTTAGATGTCAGCTAGTACACCTTTTTGCTCAGAAGGAGAACAGAAGAAGACAGAGGGTAGTGATCACTCAGAGCTGGTAAATAACGACCACTTTCTGGGTTTAGAGTGCGGAAGATCGTCTGATGGAGCTGGAGATAACCCTTAGCCCCTCATATATGTCGAAGTTGGGCTTTTTTTTAAAGATGGGATGACAGCTATTTTTTTTTTTTACCTTTATGCATTTACATGGAGTTTCCCTTTTCTTTCTTACATACCTATCCTGGGGTTTCTTCTTCTGTGGTTATTCAAAATGTTAATTTTTTTCTACATTTTTCTTTCTCTGTATTACTATTGGCACCCATTCCGCCCCCCCCCCCCCCAATTATGTTAGCTTTCTCAGGAGCTAGATACCCCCGGTCTAGGCAGATGTGTATTTTTATTCTATTTCCTTGAAGAACTTATTAATACATATGCTGTAGTGTTACTAAAAATTGTATGTGTGGGACCGGACATGGTGTTAACATGTTAGCAGCTGATGGGCTCTTTGAACTCAAGATAGAAATTCGAATGCATGTGCCTAGGCGCTGATGCATGCGCAGATGATAACTTAGTTAAGGCTGGTAGGAGTATATACAATCAATATAGCATAGGTATTGCACGCATGAAGGACAAAGGGAGAGGGAGAAGGAAGGAAGGAAGAAAGGGGGCAGGTTTTATGATGTCTTGATCTTGAAGTCTGTGACCGTGTATGTACTCGACAGCCCGAGATAGATCTCGAAACCCATGGGTTTCAATGTGGGAGAGAACGAAAACAAAAAGAAGAAGAAGAAAAAGAAGAGGAAGAAGGAAACCATAGGAGTTGCAAACGAAAGTGCGCCGGGGTAACATAGTAGATGATTGGAGGGATGGAGGGATGGAAGATAAGGAAAGGGAAAGAGAAGAAATAAGGGAAAGAAATAAGGGAATTCGTAACGTGATTTCGACCATAAATATAACATTATCATTATCCAAGGGGGAAAGGCTCTTTATTGTGCATATTTGTGTGTCCGCCTTTTTAAGTCTCGCTCGTTTTTTTGGTAGCTGTCTGAGGTTTCCTGAATCAATAACTTGATTCCTCAGTCGCCATTCTATTTGCCAAAGTCCCACGACCTCTCCACATCAACGTAGGGTCAATCTTTCTTGGTTTCTTATAAGGGTCCCTCGGTGTAGATGTCCCACTACCCTTTAGTCCATACCCTCCACCTCCAGGCGTGCAAATAATAATCCTATCTCCAGGTTTCATACTAGCCGTGTTCTTCCCTCCCATATTAATCTTCTTATACTTCCTCCCTTCTTCCCCTTCAACACCATTGGCTCCGTTGCTCCCACCGTTACTATGATTATTATTATTACCAATCTTCCTCATCCAATAGTTCACACCTCTACTAGCCGGTTCTCCACCAGCCATACCGTATGGTTTGAATACCCTTCGTTCCGAAAGAATGGAGACTTGGACCGGGATACGAAATTCAATGTCCCGGATGACTCCGTCTCCACCGTCATGTTCCCCTCTACCTCTAGAGCCCTTGCGGATGCTAAATTCACGGAGGATGACGGGGTATCGACGTTCAAAGACTTCGGCGTCGGTGATACGGGTATTGGTCATGTGTGTGTGAACGCCCGAGGTGCCGTCCCAGTCTGAGCCCTGTTGGGTTTCCATAATGGATTAGTATTCCTTCCATTTTGGGGGGGATATTATCATAGGGCTGAGGGAGAACATACTGCACCGCTGCCGCCAGCTATGGTTTCGTAGTATCCGAAGCCTTTAACGTATTCTCCGTCTTCACCAGTGTTTCCGCCGTACCCGAAGGTTAGGTTGTTACAATCGCCCTGTGATGCCGCACAGGCTTCGAAAGCTTTGAAAATTACGTCTGTAACTCTTTGGCTCTGTATACCAGAAGGTTAGATTGTATTTCTTCATGTGCATACATAGAAAGTCTGAGGGCACATACGGTCAATACATTCCCTCCGACCACCGCCGCATTCTCTGAGGGGCTTAAGAAGGAATCCTTAGGGATCTTGACGTGAATTGGCTTTAAGCACCCTTGATTCAGTGGGATGTCATCGTAGATCAAACAACGTAGACAGTAGATTATCGCGGAGAAGGTGACCGCTTCTGGGGCGTTCATGTTTCCTGTTTGTGTCTTTTTTTAGTGTACTGAATTGATATCGGAATACGGGGCGACATATCGAAAACTCACCATACATCTCTGGCCCTGTTCCATTGAAATCGAAAACGGCCTCTCCCTTTTCAGAATCGATCTCAATCTTAAGCCGGATAGGACTTCCATCATCCATAAAATCTTCGGCTATCAGATCTTTACCACCAAACCTTCCTGCAACTTCCTTCAAAAGGTTTCTGACGCTTAGTTCCGCATTCGCCTGGATGGCAGTCATGTAAAACTGAACGACTTCTTGTCCGTAGTCCTCAATCAGTGCACGAATAAGCGTTATTCCCTTATTGTTGGCTGCAACTTGGGCTTTTAGATCATTGATATTGTCGGCTAGACAACGGGTTCCGCTGCAACCAGGATATTGTGCAGGTTCATCGAGGAGGAGCTGGGTGATTCTTTCTTCGTTGAAAATTCCTTCCGATACCAACTTTTCAGACATTATCGCAGCGCCTTCTTCGTATAGCTCACGGGATTGTGGTGGCATTGAGCCCGGTAATATACCGCCAATATCGGCATGGTGGGCTCTTGATGCAACGTAGAATATAATTTCATCGCCGTTAAAGGCTGGGGTTATGACCGTGATATCCGGGAGATGGGTGCCACCAGCTTCGGGGTGATTAGAAACGATAACATCGCCTCTCTTTAATCTGCCTTCCCACATTTTGGCTTGCGTCTTGACACAGGTACTCATGCTTCCCAGATGAACTGGTAAATGAGGTGCATTTGCGACGAGTCCGCCGTCTGCATCGAACAAGGCGCAGGAGTAGTCCAGTCGCTCTTTGACGTTTGTGGAGACACTAGTCTTCTGTAGAGCTCGCCCCATTTGCTCGGCGATCGCCATAAAGCGATGAGAAAAGATGCTAAGGAGGATAGGGTCGACTTCATGATTTTTTGCCTCTTGGAGGTGGCTTTCGGATTCTTCGGCTCCGACATTGATAACAACGTGAGTATCGAGGATTAGAGCCCAGCTGCTTGGAGGGACGATAATTGTCTGGGTGTCATCTGCCAATATCGCTGGCCCTGGAATCTTACATCCGACTTCAAGCTTATCGATGCGATATATTGGGGTATCCAGCCTTCCCTCTTCAAAGTACACCTTCCGGACATCGTGGGCGGTGGATTCATCAACGGATTTATGTTTTTCTGATGGCCAATCTTTCAACTGTTGGTCTACGGTCTTTTCCATCCCCTGGAAGGACTTGCCGATCCCTCGGACTCTGACGTCGTCAACAAAGATATCTCGGTCAGGTAGAGTAAACCCAAACTCTTGCTCATGTTGCTTAACGAATGCAGTTCCGAAGTCTTCATCTTCAGGCTTGATTACCATCAGTGCTGATTCGGTACCTCTATACCGCATATTCAGGTACTCCTCGAATACAATCTCCTTGCCATCATTACGGAAGCCTTGAGCCTCGAGCCCTTCAACGGCACGGTTTCGAAGCTTTTCGAGTCGGTCATCCATCTCTTTTGAAACTTCTTCGTCACCCCATTTCGCTGATGTTGGTTCTTGTGCTTCCTGGACAACATCGGCTAGGGCCATGCCGTAAGCACTGAGAACACTGCTATAACGGTGGATTAAGATCATTTTAATTCCCAGACTTTGGGCAATAGCCACAGCATGTTGTCCACCTGCGCCACCAAAAGTCGCAAGTCTGTGGTGCGAGCTATCATGACCTTTGGCTTCCGTTAGAGAGCGGATAGGGCGAGTCATGGTTTCATTGGCAATTTTAAGAAACCCATATGCAACTTCGTCAGTTGTCATATCTTGGGCCAATTCACTATTTATACTATCCCTAAGCTCTTCAAATAGCTTTGCCGATACCTCTGCATCAAGAGGCTCATTCTCATGAGGACCAAAGATTCGAGGGAAGAATTCGGGAAGGAGTCGTCCTAGATAAAGGTTCGCATCTGTAACTGTAAGAGGACCACCTTTGCGGTAGCAAGCAGGGCCGGGGTGGGCGCCTGCGGATTCAGGGCCGACGACGAATAATCCATTTTTGAAAAATAGTCTAGAGCCACCACCCGCGGCTACAGTGTTGATGTCCAGTTGGGGAGATTGAATCGTTACTCCAGCTGTGGTTGTTTCGAAGACATGTTCGTATCTTCCGGATCCATAACGAGAAACATCTGTGCTTGTACCACCCTATGTTCTAATTAGGCTTACTCCATACGCACGTTCTCGGCCACTGGTAAGCTTACCATGTCAAAGCCAATTACTGGAATTCCAACTTCTTTGTCATAGCTTGTCAGTGCATAACCAACTACGCCACCGGCTGGGCCAGACAATATAGCCCTCAATCCCGAGAATCCTTTGACATCTACCAACCCACCATCACTCTGCATAAACTCACACCTCGCTCCCTTTTCTTCTTTCATAACGCTTTCCGATCCTAGGCCACCTTCAAATCCTTTCTCGAATCCGCTAATGTACTTTTTGATCTCCGGCGTTAAGTAGGCATCTGCTGTAGCAGACGTGGCACGAGGAACGTATTTGATCATAGGCATTAACTCTGCGGACAACGAGATATGCGTGAAACCAACTTCTTCTGCTAGTTTTCCAATGATCTTTTCGTGCTCCGGGAAGGTGTATGAGTGCATTAGGCAGACTGCGATACTTCTGTAGCCTTCATCATATACAGTCTGGAGATCCTCTCTTACGGCATCTTGGTCAAGCCTTTGGAGGATCCGAACGGCCTCGCCGGTCATTCCTTTGACGAGATTGGGGTCATTTTTCTCGTCATCCTGTGAAACATGGGTGACGGTTTGTTCTGGGTCTTCGGCATAATCTTCAAGAGTTACCCGTTCGTCTACTTCGATGACTTTCTGGTATAAAACTTCGGGCTTGTGTATCGCTAGATCGAAGATACGAGGTCTAGATTGATTCCCTATATTTAATCGGCGGCACTTGTAAGCTAAAACGTGGTTTTCACGGCAAACAGGAAAACCATGTAGGAAAAATTGTCTACCAACCGATAACCAAGCAATCGCCGTGTCCTTTCGTCACAAAAATGGCGCACTTCTCTCCCTTTCGTTCCAGCAGTGCATTCGTCGCCACCGTGGTACCCATACGAATACTCTCAATACATGACGTATCTAGCGGTTGCCCTCGGGGTATCTCTTCGCCCGTGAACTTCTCAAGGAGACGTCTAATGCCTTCCAATGGAGCATCGTCGTAGTTCGCCGGATCGACGGATAGAAGTTTGATGACGACGTCGTCGGATAGTTTACCAGTACCAGGGTTTCCGACACAATCCGTGAAGGTACCGCCACGCTAAACATGGAATGAGAATAAGTAATCAGATATTATTGAAACAACATGGAGTATAGTTTGATTACGTAAGGCAATGGAGGGGTAAGAATGCAGTACAATAGGCTTATGCAGGGTGATATCATACGTCAATAGCGATTCTTATGCCTTTTGCCATTCGAACTAGCGAGGAACCCTCAGCAAACTGTTGAAGGCTTTGGTTGGCAGCTTACAGGGATGGTGTTAGAGTAGGGTTTTGAATCGTAGTAGATGCAATGCGGGAGAGTTGATATCAGAAGACTGGAATGTTGGACCGGTAGTATAGTAGGAGTATCTGCTCAGGAAGATCCAGAACACAGCGAAGAGACATTAGCACGATATGATAGCTGGTATCAACGGTTTTATAGATATTGCAGGATGTCTGAGAGAAATATGCAAGCAAGCTGTAGGTGCAAGGCAAGGCAGCCGGCAGGTGCAGTTTCGAGTTCCATTGGACGGAGACACAAGCCTGACCTGGAAGTGGGGTGCAGGGACTCGGGGAAATGTGTTGGGGGTTGCAATTTACCTTGCGGTGATTGGAGAGGCCGTTGGACATATAACCTGCAATTGGAGGTGGATTCGAGGAGATTCTGAGAATCGACAGGTTTTATAATGTGTGGATTGGTACCAGCGGAGGAGGAAAAGCAGGATGAGAGCGAGACCTTCTGCCCGGATTACGTCAAGGCAAATATTAATGCGGATACCGGCGAGTAAGAAAATGTCGTTCGAGATGCAGCTAGCCCGTCTAGCAGTTGTACAGCCAGCATAAACCACATGCGCGAGCAGAGCAGAGAGAATTAAGACTTCTTCCCGCGGCCGAAGGGGAGGAGGAAGGAATCGGGATGTTTATATGCCAGGCAAGTCGAGAACCCTTCCAATTGCCTCGCACGTGAGGAAATCTACTAGCGAATCGACAAGTCAAGCTAGGCAGGGACGGATACAAGGTGCCTGTATATATATAGGCCTTCCAGCGAGCTAACTAGCTTAGCTTGGTTGGCCGTATTTCGAAGCTTTCACAAAGTCCGTAGGTACGTATTTCCCCATATACGCCGAGGCGGGGCAGTGAAGGAGCTAACAAAACATCGACTGGAAAGGGCGGTTATAGAAAAGCAAGAACTGGGATAATAATGCAATCAATTATATGCAGGCAAAAGCATAGCGAGATCGAGGATGCAGCTGTAAGAGGTCGACCAATTCGACCAGGTTTTCATGGTGGAGAGTACACGTCGAGGAGGAGCAACAGTGGTCGCATGCCCGCCGGAAGATTTACTTGGGACGCCCTAAATCTTCATCCGGATTGGATCGAGAAGCAAAGGTTCAAGGGAAATCCCCACGGCCATGGCCATGGCTGCCGCTACTCCTCCTCCTGCTTTGCTACTGCTTCATTCAGATTGGCTAGGCCACGAGCAGAGCAGGGCCCGCTGGCAAGTCGTCAGCGGTGAAAGATCCTCTCGAGGAGGGGATCTGAACATGAGGGAAGGCGGCGAACAATGCAATGCCATGGGTTGGTGTGTGAGCCGATAGCGAGTCAATGGGCAGAAACACGGCCGGGAGGAAGACGCCGCTGAAAAAAAAGTTAAGTGAGAGGAGCGACGAAAGGGAGGAGTTCTTCGATTAAAGGGTTTAAGAAGCTGCCCGAGCCCGACGGTGGGCTATTTGGGCCCCATCCCGACACGCTACTTGGTGCGACTGTGACGCTATTGGGTCGTCGACTATCGACAAAGTTATGTGTGATGCACCTGAACGATGTTCCGACACCGAGGCCATACTGCTTGGTAGTCTCCTGGCCATGCATAATGGTCAGGGTACAACACGATAATGTACCCCATACTTGACAACCATCTGGCTAACCGCCTGTGAAACACTGCAGCTCGACCAATTTGGCCTGCGGCTGGAAGTCACACTACCTCGTCGCGAGCTGCAGCTGCTGTAGCTTAGTCTCCAAGAGCGTGGGTCCCCGCCATTTCTGAATCCCGCTGTTTCAATGGTCCGGAAAGTCGCGCACCGTCCAGGTCACCTAGTTGCTTCGTAGTCGCTTCTTCAATGCAGCTTCGTGAAAAAATAACGACAAATTACGAATACAACTTTGAACCAAAAGAAACACTAATTGATAAGAGAAGCGGGGCACTTGAGCTGGCGTCTTTCGGTTCGGGACTCTGCGACCGCTGCCGACCGCCAATGAAGTCTCGAATTGGCTGTTACACATGTACGGTTTGATATTAATCCTTCCCCACGCATTATAGGTAAGGTGGCGGGGCAGATGACAGATGAACGACGACGCCGACTGCCCGGTTGACTAGGTACAGCGATGCAAATTCGCAATGCCGAATCCAAGCGGAAGGGATATCTCAGGTCAAGCTCAGGCCAGTGCTCTTGGGATTCTTCCTCTCTTTCTCTTTTCTTTCATCCTGCCTGTCAAAGTTTAAGACATGAGAAATGCGGGTAGGAAGGAGGTTTTATCGATAAGCAGCTCGGATTTTGACCAAACATGCAGAGGATCCGCCAATCGGCTGCAGGGAAGGCCCACTTTGCGTGTTTGGTGTTTGAGATTTTGACACCATGCTAATTTAGCGTCCTGCCCATTACAAATCCGAAGAGGGATGGATGTATCTGCGGGGACAAACGACAATTGTCTACCTGTCTTTTTGCTCGAGTTGGCCTTGTCGAACATCTCGTTTATCTGGCTCAGAATAGATGTTTCTTGTTCTAAATACCTGGTAATTTCCTGTTCCGCAAGGTGCGAATAGGAAGTATGTTGATATATCGCGCATGGGAGGCAAGGCTACCATCTATAGGATTCTGTTTCATGACGCCCCAATCAAACATCAGTTCTCCAGCCTTTAGAGCTGAAACTCTTTTGTAGTTGGTTATACATATAAAAATACAATGACTTCTGTGCATTGAGTTTGATTTAGCTGCCATGCATGCACATCCGGTATACCCGTGACTTCGAGAGTCTAGGCGCTCCTGAGACTGAAGGAACATGTCGACAATGGTCGATAGAACAGAGAAACCGATTGCAAGTGGTTTAAATTTATGAAACGGTAGCCACAATCAAAGCCTCTTTCTCCAACGTTCTCCGTGATGTAATGTGGCCACATGCACATATGTACCTAGGATTACCAGTAATTTAATATCAGTGTCAAATTTTCGTCCCATGATTTTTATACCAATCCAACCGGCCAATTCTCTTACAACCACAACGAGAAACGAGGCTTGAGATCCTTGCTCCGGATATATAAAATGCGAGTGATCAGAAACAGCCAATTTCATAGCTGGGCCATGTTATTATTCTAGAAGGTCTAGCTTCATGTTGATCCCGCTGCAAGTAAATTGGAGTGCTAACATTAAGTATTGGCACATATGCTCCATATATCAGTCAAGAACTTTGTGGCCAGTTTGCAGCTTAAGTATAGGCATAATGCTGCGTATCTCCGCCATATGTACATGTATATGTCTATCGTGGTCAGATTTGCAAACTGGTGTGGGAGATATCGAAATGGGTTCTTGTAGTACATGTAAGTACATACATGCGGATGAAAGAGAACCCTTGCATCTAATTCCCGCTATTCCGGCAGGCCATCAGCCGACAACTGCTAGCTAAGCAAGGGGTGTTTTTTTTGACTATCTGGCATTTTATAGTCTACAGCTAGAGCCTCTAAACATCTGGAATTTGTAGACGGGTGGCATCATTTCTTAAAAGGAGTCTAGATTTTGGCTGAATATCGCAGTATATAGATGCGCATTATAATATAAATGGATTAGACTGCATGATTCTCTTCGAACAGCTAATCTGGCACTTGATCTTGCGACAGCTTGTCCATTCGCGATAACTATAGTGTATTTATTTATATTTGATATAGTCGCGATATCGATAACTGAACTAGCTGCTGAATGCGGAGGCGGCTTTTGGTTAGCGAGCCTATTATATCTGTGAACCTGACACGTTACGATTATAAGCAGGATATAGTTTCCATAACGATATAGGCCCCGAGACCTCGCAAAGTATTACAACTTGATCCCATAGTCTGACATCCACGAGCGAGCGAGCGATCATGGAGATGTGGTTTTGGGGCTTGGAGATCCGAACGATTGAGAATGATTTCTAAGATGCAACTGTGGCATGTTTGCCCCGCGGCTTTGCCGTCGCAAACCATTGCATTGCGTCCCTTGTGAAGCGAGATATCAGAAAGCGCCGCGCCCGGTTTCAGACCTTTAGATCCAGATTTATTCCAACAAATGATGTTCATGTTGCGGTTGCAATTGCTATTGAAAATAGCATCTCACGTATAACGTGTAGTCGGAAGGAAGAGGATTTTGATCCGAATCATGTTTGAGAACCGGATTATCCAAGCAACAGGCAATTGGTTTGCCATCGAACTAGCTGGTTCGAGTCTGAATCACAGCTAACTGCGCAGCTGCACAGCTTTCTTGAGATCTGTTCTGAGTCTAGAAGGACATGAGCACGGGCAATTGTAGTTTCGAGCTTGCCCCAATTCAATACAATGTCATGAATTCGAACTCGTACTGAAGTTGTAGTATAACCGGGGCACAGCTTATTGGCCGTGGCCTCATCGCCGGCCTAGGATAATCAATTCCCATGGCCATGCTATGCTTCAGGAACTGGCGTAAAGCGAGGGGCTAGATAATAACCCAACCCCTGTCGAGTCCCACCGATACACCGGCTACAGAGCATAGGATACTGTGTACTGTGTACCTAAGTAGCAATAGGCTGTGCGGGCACAGACTTGGTACTTTGGCTGTTGCTTTGGCTATGGCTGCACTGTCTTGGAGGTTGATGTGAGGTCGAGCATGGATGGATGGTCTTCGCGAGCAGAGCCGGCCAGCTGCCAGAAGTGAACACATAAACCTCTTCTCCAGCGCTGAAACTCTACACCTGAAAAACAGCCCGGCCGACATCCAGTTAAATATTCTAGCTCCCCTCCTCTCCAGCTCCATCTCACTCTTCCAGCTTCCATCTTCTTCTCCTCTCTCTTCCTCCACCAGGCAATTGCATCTTCACATTGATTGTTGAACTTCTTTGAGGACCTCTTTGACTTATTTATTCGGTTCTGTTTTATACCCCCCCACATACACACAAATATCAATCAAGATGCATTCGAAACAGATCCTTCTGTCGTTGGTGACTGCCGTCGGGTTGGCTTCTGCCTCCGACGTCGTCCAGCTCAAGACTGATACCTTCGACGAATTCATCACCAAGAACAACCTTGTCATTGCTGAATTGTAAGTTTGGTATATCCTTTCGATATCGATTAGGTCTAGGGAACCGCGTCAAAAGCGTGTCCACTATCTGATCCGATAATCACCTACTCATTTACAATAAAAAAAAGAACAAATGGTTTGCTAACATTATGCTTCCTAGCTATGCTCCATGGTGCGGACACTGCAAGGCTCTTGCTCCAGAGTACGAGGTTGCTGCCACTGAGCTCAAGGCCAAGGGCATCCAGGTCGTCAAGGTTGACTGCACGTACGTAATCAATCGAACCGCCGATATATATACATATATACCTTACCCACCGATCAGAGTACTAACGAATTATATCATATAGTGAGGAAGCCGACCTTTGCCAGAAGCAGGGTGTTGAGGGATACCCCACCCTTAAGATCTTCCGTGGCTCGTTGGATAACCCATCCCCATACAGTGGACAGCGAAAGGCCGACGCTATCGTCTCTTACATGACCAAGCAGTCGCTACCAGCTGTCTCCGTCCTTACCAAGGATACCATTGAAGCCTTCAAGACCTCCGACAAGGTTGTTGTTGTCGCCTACTTCAATGCTGACGATAAGAAGTCGAGCGAGACCTTCTCCGCCATTGCTGAGAAGCACCGTGATGACTACCTCTTCGGTGCCGTTTCGGACCCAGCTCTCCTTGAGGCTGCTAAGATCACTGCCCCAGGCGTTGTTGTCTACAGATCATTCGACGAGCCCGAGACTGTCTACGACGGTGCTTTCGAGGCCGAGGCCATCACAACCTTCGTCAAGACCACCGCCACCCCACTCATTGGTGAAGTCGGCCCAGAGACCTATGCCGGATACATGTCCGCTGGTATCCCACTTGCTTACATCTTCGTTGAGGGTGATGAGCAAAAGACCAAGTACGTCACTGGCTTGAAGGCTCTTGCCCAGAAGTACAAGGGCAAGATCAATGTTGCTACCATTGATGCCGCTGCCTTCGGTGCCCACGCTCAGAACCTTAACCTTGAGTCGAAGTGGCCTGCTTTTGCTATCCAGGACACCGCCAAGAACTTCAAGTACCCATTCGACCAGACTAAGGATCTTACCGTCGAGGCCATCGAGAAGTTCGTTGAGGAATTCTCCGAGGGCAAGGTTGAGCCATCGATCAAATCCGAAGAGGTCCCAGCTAAGCAGGAGGGTCCAGTCCACACCGTTGTTGCCCACAACTACAAGGATATCGTCCTAGACGACGAGAAGGACGTCTTGGTTGAGTTCTATGCTCACTGGTGCGGTCACTGCAAGGCCCTCGCCCCCAAGTACGAGGAACTCGGAAAGCTCTACTTCGACAACCCAGAATTCGCCAAGAAGGTCGTCATCGCCAAGGTTGATGCCACCCTCAACGACGTTCCAGATGAGATCCAGGGCTTCCCCACAATCAAGCTCTTCGCAGCTGGCAAGAAGGGATCCCCAATTGACTACCAGGGTGGCCGAACTGTTGAGGACTTCGTTAAGTTCATCAAGGAGAGCGGTACCCACGGTGTCGATGCTACCGAGGCTCTCGCTGCCCAGCAGGCCGCCCCACCTGCTGACTCTGCCGCTGAAGATGTTGGAAAGGCTGCCCCAGCTGCCACTGAGTCCGGTGACGAACCCGGCCCAGCCTCCACATCGACAGAGGCCGCTGCTGAGTCTGACAAGCACGATGAATTGTAAACGAAATAAAATAATCCCTAAAAACCTCACTAGAATAGTGATGGAATTATACCATTGCATCTTCTCTCACAAGATATCCATACCATCTCCATCCCTCCCGCTCAATCCCTTTCCTTTGTAATGTGGGTAATAAGTCCTGGTCTTTGAAGCTTTCTGCATGCTTTTGTCTCCTTTTCTTTTTTGTTCGTTTTTTTCTACGTGCTCTATCGGGGTTAACAAAAGAATGTCTTTTATCGACGACAACCTTTTCATGTATATTATGCATTAGTTATGATTTCCAATGAACGCTTTAGAGACGTAACCTGATTCCCATAGTTAGTCAATTTTCAGCCGCAATCGTGATCGCGTGAATCGAATCGGATCGAAAAAAGGCGTGAAGGTGCATGAAGAATGTGTGACTCCGGGCGAAAAAATGCCATTTTGGCGAGATTCGTCTCCAATAGCGTGGGACCTTGCTCACCCAAAACGCGTCTTCCCGGTTCCCCAAAATTTCAGTGCGTCGTGTTAGAGCCGGATGAAGAATGTGACGAAGCAGAGAAAGAACAGGGCCTCTCTCCTGAACATCTTATTCTATCAATCTTCTTCCCAAGCAGAGTGCCTAGGACTGTTTTCTCAAAACTTCACCTGTTAGAGCATCTCCATCCCGCTGTACCTGCATTATCGATTCGCCTCTCTTATCGTGTTCGGATTCGCTACCAAATACGTACCATGTCGGCCAAAAGAAAAGCCACAGATTCCGCTTCATCCGCCGCAGGGAAGAAACCAAAGGCGGCGACTATCACCGGATTCTTTTCCGCTGCTCCCAGCTCATCTAAAACGCCATTTGATAAGGCGGCATGGGCTGCTAAACTCCCGCCCCAACAGAGAGAGCTCTTGAAGCTTGAAATCGATACTTTGGATGCTTCTTGGTTGGCGGTGCTCAAGGATGCCCTTCTTGATCCATCGTTTTTGAAACTCAAGGCGTACTTGAAGGAAGAGTTTAAAGCGAATAGAGCATACCCACCTGCTAATGATGTTTACTCTTGGTATGTACATTACGTCGTATATCTTTGTCATTCATTTTTTTATTTTATTTTATTTTTTTATTTTTTTTAAAAAGTATACTAACCCCTTACTTGTTGTCCAGGTCTCGTCACACTCCATTCGACAAAGTCAAAGTTGTAATTCTCGGTCAAGACCCCTACCATGGCCCTAAGCAAGCACACGGCCTCTCCTTCTCCGTCAGACCGCCGACAGTTGCCCCACCGTCGCTTAGGAATATCTTTGGTTGCTTGGAAAATGACTACCCGTCTTTCCGCCCCCCAGAGAACAGACTTGGTCTTTTGACACCATGGGCCGAACGTGGTGTATTGATGTTGAATACTTGCTTGACTGTGCAACCTGGCAAGCCCAACAGCCATGCGAACAAGGGATGGGAACAGTTTACACAGAAGGTTATCGAGATTGTGGCGCAGAAGAGGATGAAGGGGGTTGTGTTTATGGCTTGGGGGAAGCCAGCTCAGGGAAGGATTGCGAAGATCAACGTAAGTATATCAAGTATTCAATATAAAAATGATTTATATATAGGTATCTATCTACGAGAATGCCAGCTAATTTGGAATGGTGGGTTATAGAAAGATACACACTTGATCCTATCATCATGCCATCCAAGCCCGTTGGCACAACCCACTGCAGCGGTCAAATTCGTAAGTCCCCTTTTTTAAAAAAATATATAAAAAATCCCATTTTATCTATATATTACGTCCTCTAGTTTATTCTAACAATGGTATCACCAAATACAGAAAGATGTCAAGCACTTCATACAGGCCAACCAATGGTTAGAGAAGAAGTATGGTGAGGACGGCCCAATTGACTGGAACTCTATCAACCCCAAGAATACGCCACTCTTTAAGTCCAAGGCTCAGGCCTCCACTTCCACCAAACCAGCGGCTCCAGCGGATGATATACCAGATGAGATCGCTGAGAAGTTTGAAGACAAGATCAATAATGAAAAAGAGGTGCCCTCCCTTGACGATGACGAGGAAGCTCTGAGGGAAGCCGAGGCACTGGAGGAATCTAGCGCGAAGAAGGGTGCAAAAAAGGAAGCTCCAAAGGCCAAAGGGAAAGAGAAGGCAAAGAAAGAAGAGCCAATTGAGAACGAATATGGAGAGGACGATATTGACTGGGACGAAGCTGCATTGAAGTCCGATCAAGTCGAAGAAGAAGCAATACAGGCCAAGAAGACCAGGGGCAGAGGCAAGAAATAGATGCTGAAAATGTTTAAATTTAGGGACGTCTTATGTTTGCGGTAGGAGGTACAGCGAACGCCATAGAAATGTTCACCTTCGGACGGAACAGGCAGTGAATTTGGAAGTACATGTTTATACAAAACGTGTTTGGCGTTCCCGAGACAGTAAAAAAACAAAAAGCAGAAGAAGGGGTCGGCACTGGCGTTGGATACTATTTCTTTTGTTCATAATTAGTATTTTTGGTTTATCCTTATTTGTTTTCATCCGCTTCGTATTATAATTTCCATGATTAGATTCTGCTCACCATGTTACATATATCCTTTAACTCGTCTTCTTCTTCGGGCTACTCTGTACTCCAATACATTTAGACATAGGTACTATATACCGAAGCAAGCGAATTCTTAAGTGAGTGCCTAGGTAGGTAAGTACCTAGGGTACCTAATGTATTGTAAATTGTTGTAAATTGGCTGAGAGTGGCTTGCCCATTTGAAATATCCACTTCATTGGGGTCGACACTGCGCTGCCCTGGTGAAGCATTTGTTGGCGGAGCGGCCTGTGTAACATTCGACAACGCAACTTTTGTTTAGAAGCTTAAACCCTTCGATCGAATCGGTTCTTTTCCATTTACTCTACACGCGCGAGCAGGGACTGGTTAATTCTGGCTCTATATGCATATTTGCCATGGGGTGTATTAGGTTGATTCCCTGAAGAGGCTATAGATTGCATTGAGAAGAATCAGTAAGCTTCCCTGACATGTCTGACACTCATGAACCTGGCCAAGTATTTGACGGTTCATTAATTATTCCGGCCGGCAAAGCTGAATTTGGTCATGTTAGTTGTACGGACTCGGCTACCAGGGTACTATACGACACTGAATATGACATCTGCACTTGCATTGGAGGAATGTTTTGCTTATGGCGAAGATTAATATTCGATACGATTGCCGCAGGCCTTTATTGGATACCTAAAAGGTCACCCTGGCTAGGCCTCGGTTGGCACAAAATCTGCATAATCTCACCTTCCATGATCATATGAAGCCCACGATCAACGGGCCAGATTACATGCAGATATATATATACATCGGGAAACCAAGACTTCGAAGATCAAAGATTCAATTCGACGAAAATAGGGACTCGGCACATAACCTCAGACTAGCTATCCTTCGAAAAGACGAAAATGGCCCAAGCTTTGGCGGATCTGAGCTAGGGCTAGGTTAACTTTATAAATCGTTTGGATGATACCATCCTAAGGTATCTTGCACAAACGAAAAACATCGCCCCGGGAGAATACCTAAAATAGTCCACCTAAGCATATGCTTATTTTGTGCAGTGGCAGGGATCTGGTATTTTGATCCCGACCTGGGTATACTATACTTACCTTGACAAATATAAACCCTCAACTCAGCCGCACTCCAGCTCGATGTCGGTATTTCTTGGCTCCAGGTCTTTTCGCACACGATTGCACAATTATTCAAACGGGGACCCACAAATCTTCAACGGATTTTCTCTGTGGAATAACAAGCAATCCTTCCAAGCCCTTGGTGTGAAATGCCTCGTACCTTGACTCATGTACCTCAAACGAAGATCGTAATTGAGCTTATGCCCCAAGGCTTCTGTTCCTAGGTATCTATAAGCCTAGCGTGTAGTACAGAATAGATTTCTTTCCTGTGAAACCTCTCAAGACAAGCCGAGTCACAGGAAAAAATTCACAGATACGCTCCACAGAATGTCCGCAGGGTATGGGAGTTAGTTGCTTACCAGGGATCCCTCCCCGCCCATCAAAATCAATACTAGGGCATATAGGTCAAGCGAATTTAGAGTAGAATAGAAAAGCGAAAATAGCACAGCCGTCCTGTGATAGTAGCTCGAACGGTTTATATTGGTGTACAGGACACGCTTAGCACCAGCTGAAATCTCGATAAACCCCCCCATTAATTCCCACGCGCTGGACCCGCCCCTACTGACCTGGGTCTTATTTTTTAAGGCCTACTCTGCTAAGAGCTCTTTGTATTCCTTTTCTCCCATGGGAATTGTTTTTTAAATACGAGAAGTATCATACGACGATCATTCGACTCTGTTTTTCCTAATCTAAGCTTTTCTCTTTTATGCATTTTTGTTTGATAATACCAAGATTTGGCAAGAAGCTTAATTATATACTAGACCAAGATGGCCTCGAATCCGGGCCTTGCGGGCACTCCAGGTGCAAGCAGTAACCCACTAGCTTCGAATAACCCTTTCGCAGATCCAGCAGGTTCGTTTTGAACCCTCCTTCTCCCCAATTCCGAGATATTAAACTTATAATAATCGCGAAGAAAAGGATACCATACTGAGTACAAAGCTAACATAACCCACAAATTGAAGTACAATCCGGTCAGCGCCATGACAGACGCAACACCGAACCCCTCCCATATCCAGTCTCCCCACAACCCCCCGCCGCGCGTGGTCCGACAGCCGACGATGAAATCGAAGATATCAGCCCACCCCCTTTGTTCTCACGATATTCTACAGGTCCTGAAGCAGAAAACTTAGTTCGTCGGCATGCGAATACTTTCCCGCGTCCGGTGCCGCCGAATACAACTTCACAACCAGGTGCGCAGGCACCAGAATTAGTAGGACCTCAGAGTCACGGTCAAGGTCAAGGAAAACCACCAGGATATCATAGCGACGACGATGATGATTCCGATATATCCACCGACGAGGATGACGATTTGGCGATGTATTTTAAACGACGAGAACCGGCAAATGGTGTGTTATCGAGCTTACTACAGTTATACGGACCGGGTGGTGGAACCGAAGCTTATAGGTCACAATCGGTACCCCGATCTCCAAGATCGAGGAGCAAAAGCGCAGTGGGGGCTAAAACTGCCACTCCGGGTGAACAAGCTACAACAGAAAGTGGACAGTCAGCACAGCCAGAGACTGCAGCAGAAAAGGAGAAAATGCAGATGGCAATGATGGCGAAGGAATCAGGAACTGGTAGTGACAGTGATGACGATGATTGGAAGAGTTTCTCGGCGAGGCCGAGATGGTATCAACATTCTTCCATGTCGAGGTTTTCATTAATACCAGAGACGAGAAGTGCGACACCGACAATGGAAGTTGTGGGGGATGTGGCATCTGTGCTGTCGATGGGGGAGAGACCCTCGAAGTTGGGGAAAAGAGAGAGGTTAAAAGCTTTGGCGAAGAGATTTAAAGGAAGAGGGAACGAGGAGCTTACCATCACAGTACATATTGCAGAGACATTGCAGCGGCAGAAGTATCTGCTAAAACTTTGTCGAGCATTAATGCTCTGTGGAGCCCCGTCACATCGTATTGAAGGTAGGATTCTTTTTTCCTAAAATGCATCATGGTCCTATTATCTAAGCTAACGATATCAGATTTCCTTCAAATTAGCGCTGCGGTTCTTGCAGTCAATGCCTCCTTTGTCTACCTCCCCGGCACTATAATAATATCTTTCCAAGATCCCCAGACTCACACTTCAGACGTTCAAGTCGTCAAAAGTGGCACATCTCTAGACCTCGGGAAACTCCAGTACATCCATATCATCTACAAAGAAGTACTTCACGATGTCATCTCCGTCGAAACCGGCACCGAGAAACTCGAGAAACTCATTCGAAAACCCCCACTCAGAAATGTATGGTTCAAAGTTCTACTATACGGCGGCGCATCTGCCTCTATTGCCCCTCTATTCAATGCACGGGTTAAAGACCTGCCATTCGCATTTCTACTGGGTATGGTGGTGGCACTTATGGGATTGGTGATTAATCCCAAATCCGAAGCGTTTGCAAACGTCTTTGAGATCATGGGTACCATCATCGTATCTTTCTTTGCCCGTGCATTTGGAAGTATAAGAATGAACGGAGAAGAACTGTTCTGTTTTTCGGGTATAACTCAAGGTGCAATCGCCCCGTTGCTACTACCGGGCTATGCAATCCTTCTCGGGGCACTTGAATTACAGAGTAAAAAGCTGGTGGCTGGAGCGGTCCGAATGTTTTATGCAATCATCTACTCCGTACTGCTATGGTTCGGTATCTCCATCGGAACGGCGCTATACGGCTTTGTTGACCCAAGTGCAACGAATTTAACGGAATGTTTGGATCAGAATCTACAAGAATTTAGATTCTTTTACGTCCCGTTGTTTACTTTCTTCGTCTTACTCGCAAACCAAGCAAGATGGAAACAGGCACCTGCAATGTTGATTATTAGTTTATTGGGATATACAGTAAACTACTTTTCCCAAGGACGGTTTCCGCATACACCACAAGTTGCAAATGGATTGGCAGCATTGACTGTTGGTGTGCTGGGAAATCTTTATAGCAGAGTGGTCCACCAAGCGGCGTTTACAGCTATGGTACCCGCCATATTGTTACAGGTGCAGAGTGGGATCGCTAGCTCTGGGTCGTTGATGAGTGGTTTGACAGTAGCTATGACGATTGTGGGCGGACGGAATGCGATGATTCCAGCGGACGCCGATTCTATTAATATCGCCGCCGGTGCAAACTCGCAGTCTGGATTCGTAGTTGATGGAGGAGCAGGTCAGTTGGCCCTAGGGCTAGTCGCTATCAGTGTGGCTATCAGCTTCGGCCTATTTTTGAGCAGTGTTATAGGTATGTATCTTCCAATCTCGTTCTTTCTTCTTAGACAGGTGTTTCCTTCCTTTTATATTATACAGGTCAAGGCTAATATATGAAATTTAGTCTATCCTTTGGGCAAGAGCAAAAAACAAAGTGCTATCTTCGCTTTTTAGATGTCGATATATATTGCAGTATCTCGAGAGAACACCAAATCCTTCGCTTTGGTAGTTTGATTTTCCATTTTCTTTAAATTTCTTTTTTACCAGGCACTCAAAACTCTGGTTGTTTCCTTTTGACTCTAAAATCTATCTAAACGGGAATCTATGGGAGGCGTTTTTTTTTTTTTTTTTGGAAGCTTAGAAAGCCCGGAGGGTCTACATTCTTTATAGGTAACTCAGCGAGTACATTGTAGCGATTAGTATGCTGCACTTGATCGATTTTTAAAATCCTATACACTTCACAATTTATTCAATTAAGCAAATGAATATAAGCATTGTTTTCAATGAAATATACACTGAGATCATGATGCATAAAATAACACGCTGCCTCTTTATCAAGCCTTTTTCGGTGGCGGCGGCCTTGCTCCTCCAGGAGGTGGGGGTGGGCTCTTTGCCCCACCAACAGCATCAACCTGATAATCATCCTCTTTGCTCTTATTCTCCTCCTCCATCATATAAGCATCCATCAGATTTGTTCTATTACTCCTAACAGCTTTCTTCCCCCTCCCAGCCCTCGCAGGCGGCGGTCCACCCCCCGGAGCGCCACTCTGACCCTGTGAATACGGAGAGCTCATTGGTGGCGGTTGTGGCGGGGTTGAGGGTGTTTGTCGACCACTCTGCAAAGCGGCTATAGCCGCAGGATCCATCATAACGGGAGGAGTAGACGTTTGTGGCGGTGGACTCCTTGTTGCTGCATATGCGTCACTCGGTGTGAACATGTGCGGTGCTCCTGGGGGAGGTGATGTCGCTTGGCCTTGTAAAGCGAATGCAGGGGTTATGAACGCTGATCCATCTTGTGATGTCGTTACTTCTGGACCTGGTTCGCCACCTAGGAATGCCGCATCGGTGGGTGGGTACTCGAATATTGCTTCGCCAGGCTGGCTTAGGGGTTCTTCGAGCGGAGGCGGGAGTCGGTGGAGAGCGCCGTATCCAAGGACGCAGCCGAGTGCACCATCGCCACCCCAGTGTCTTCGAGGGAGGATAGTCACCTCGCGGACTAAGTTGAACTCACGGTTGTAGACGTAAAGTTGAAGAGGCCGGTCGATATGCTGTTGTAATTGAGGAAAAGGTCCGAATTCAGTAAAATGTCAAAAACCAGTAGCGGCGGGCTAACTCACATCTTCAACTAATTCTCCCAATCCACTTTCTCCTCTGACAACCCCACGCGGGGTCCCAATGATGTAATCGCTGTATGGTAGCAATCCCCCAACCTCAGCTGGACTTCCCGGCGATATATCCAGTACATGCCATACATCCTCCGCGACACCCAAGCTCATCCATTTCAGTGAAACTCCCAGCGGCGACGGGCTCTCTTCAGTAACCGGTGGTAATGGTATTGTGATATTCCGAAGTATTTGACCTTTAGCACTCCATACTCCCAACGTCACAGAATAGCCAGCACAATTCCGGACTTCTTCTTGAAATAATCGAGGGTCGGCGTCATCCTGCCGTTATTATTCTAGTTAAAACTTCTATCGTCTCGCGCCTTGTGGGTTTTGGAAGGGAGTCGTACAATTTCGCGCCCGTTGATGCCGCAGATGAAATCGAACCATGGTTCTAACGGTACTTCGGGTTTGATGCTCCTGAGAACCTATATGAATTGAAGAGAGAGGATAAAAGCCAGAAAGGATTAGACGACCTGGGTGACGGGTTGAAGGAATGAGCTACGGATTATTCTAGGGTTTAAGACAAGGGGTGTGAGCTGTTTTGACTGGTTGCTTACCCGGAATCCGAACCGATTATGGCCTCCAGAGACTTGCGATTGTTCGTTGCCCATGGTTGGGCGAGTATGGTGTGGGAGATAGCTTTAGTATTAGTGGTCGGCAACGTTGATTGTGGTAGTGGTGATAGTTTTGAGCGAGTGGGTTGGTGAGGTGGGCTGTTTTTGATAACAGCTAAGCAACACCAAAATGTAACTTTGTAGATGCAAGATGACGGTCTATTTTACATGGCGACATATATATAGGTATTCTACAGCTTCCGAACCATTGACGATTCAAGTATTAACTTAATTTGGCCTAGCAGGCTATGGTTTGAATATAGTAGATACGATTTTATTTTTCATCTTCTCTCACATCTCCATGCTTGAACGTACTGCTAAAACTACTTAGGCAACAGTTCCCAAAAGAAACACCAGAACACCGCCATGAACAACAAGTCTTCAAATATCACAGAAGATACAGCAATACCACCGGTTCGAGGCCGACTAACAGTCAAGCATTTATAATTTGGTGTCGTTTAGTCATCATAATCAGGTTGCATGTCGTCGTCGGCAGGATCATATGCTCCCATATAGTCTTGAAACCCTTGTGTTTCCACCCCACCGACCATACCGGCGATAGCTGCCATATCGATTATCCCACCCCGGCCTTGGATTGGATAGTCATCCATTTCTTCAAAGCCTTGGTCAACATGGTCGTTGGCGCCTCCAGGGCCTCCGCGCTTCTTGCTTGTGAAATTGATCCATTCCTTACTTAAGCCAAGTTTCTTATCAAGTTGTCGGGCTTGGTTTGTGATTTGGACCGTTCGGGCGATCTGAGCCTCCAAGTCTTTGAGGATGTCTGTTTCGGATGCAGGTAGATCGTGGAAAGAGACCATGCATGATGTGGAGCCATCGTTTGTAGATGAGTGAGATAGGGAAGCCTTGATTTCTTTCCGGTCAATCTGTAAGAAGTATATAAGTAATTAGTTATTCTATGCTACCGGATCAAAATGAATTGGATTTTTAGCCTCACCATATCAAGAATATACCGCTCCAGCTCTTCTGGGGAAATAGTACTGGCTCTAGAGCCAAGGACATCTAAATCGCGACTGGCAATGGCTTCGATACTGAGGGTGGAGTAGGTACTTGTCAGAGCCTTAATTCCAAGCCTACGGAAGTTCTCCAGACACTGTTCCGCAATTCCCCAGTTCCCATCCGTCTGGAAAACCTCCTTAACCAGGGCAGCTTCCCGTCGAAGAATATCGGGATTACCCGTGGCATAAGCTGTCGCAAATGCCTCGTATGGCCTGCCCACGATACGACAGGCTCTTGCTGTAGATTGTGGTATTGTTTTCGGCAGTTGAAAATTCTATCGAATATCAGCGGAGTCTACGAGTCTAGATCTGAGGGGAAGCCTGTACCCTTCCTTCAAGCATGAGAGTTACCAGAACAAACTTCTTGAAGGCATCCACCTGGATTTGGCTGACGGTCGTTCCAATGGCAGGATATGAAAGAACAAATTGGAGGAAATCGCTTGCTCGTCTCCACTTCTTCGTTGCCATGTATATCATTGCCCCATAGAGGAAATACTGGAGTACTTCTCTATAGCTAACATCTTTATCACTTCCCTTAACTGGGAATTCCTCGATATCAATGTCCAAGATTGGAAGGGCAGCACGGTAAGATCGTGCGTCAAGACACTTCTTGACAAATTTAGTATGTAACGATGAGAAAGTCCTTGCGCCAGTGGAATAGTTGAGTTGAGTAATAGTATGTTCTAGAGGTTTGAGGGCAAGAATTGGCTGCATTAAGGAAGAACCATAAGCATGTAGTCTTACAGAACAACGGGCTCCGACTAGAAGGTAATACCTTATTGCAAGCATCACAAAATTGAAGTAAGACTTTTAGGACGGCCAATAGTTGGTCCTTCGAGAATTTTATCTGTCTGCCATCAAATTCCGAAAAGAAATCAATTAATTTGGGCCATAGCTGATGAATTTCGTTCTTATCGACGGATAGACGTGCGAAGCTATTCCCTCTTAGTTAGTTAGGTCACAAGACTTAGGTGTTTCTGAGCCTTACAATGCGTAAAGGATACCTAAGCTATTTGCTCTATTATCAAGGAGCTCCAGGGGGTCACTGTCTCGGGTTCCGACCAAGGCTTGAGCGGATAATTTTGAAAGAATGTCATTTAGAGTCTTTAGATCCTTGTTATATTCGGCAGGCGTCAGATCAGGTGAAGCCGGAAAGGCTAAAACGCTTCCGATGAACCGTTCCATCTTGGAGACTTGCTACCGGTACCAACTCCGAGGTGAATAAGAGCAAAGGAGATGGGATGTGGAAATTCGATAGTCTAGATGATTATTGGGATAAAGGATGTATCGTGGTAAACTACTACTACCTAAACATCCATAAAGTTAGTACCTTAGCGAACCATGTTGCGCAGATAAGGCATTCCGCTTGATAGCAAACTAAACTTGACATACCGTTTCAGAAACTAGGAAAAGGTAGGTTAAATCCGAAGCCTATAATCCTTTAGAAACTATCTAGAGCTTCAACGCTGTGAGGTCGTGACGCGAGGGAAGTTGGTGATGTTGGGGGAGTTGCAGTATGACTGTGTAGTGGGAGAGGCGGGGAGCTAAGTACCTACACTGTATTAGACGCGAGCTGTGCAGCTCCCAAAAGCGCAGCCAACAACAGCCACAACACTGTGTTGTCGTTGCCCTACGAGAGTGTGGCGTATCACAACACAATTGTCAAACGGACGTTTGTCCCAAATCGAGGCCCTTAGGCCCGGATACAGCCTTGTTCGATGTTCCTTGCATGGGACCCGCATGCAATTGACCGGAGTATTGTACGCATGGGGTTGAACACATCAACCAGCCGACTTTGCTAACTCTGCATCCGATTTGAAAATATCAGAATTCGAATTTTCAATCTTTTAAAATGGTTACGAAGAAAGCCTTAGTAGGTCTTAGGTAGCATATTGCGATATCATGATCATGAAGGATCAGATTTTTGGAAACCAATGGGCAAAATTAGCTAGCCTTGCAATATGCAACGTGTTGTGGAACTCCACACGATTATGTACACTGCATGCTAGCATATGCTAATTATATCGATATATCACGATTGTCCAAAACCTAACAGACGGCAAGGGATCTCAGTAATGGGATATGCCCCGGAGTATAGTTTGGGATAGATACAACTTGATTGGATAGGCTGTATTTGCCGGAGCTCCTTTTTCTTGCAGAGTACGTCTTGAAAGGCATTATTGTGGAGACATGTCATCGGATCCATTGTATTGCACATCATTTTCCTGCGAAATTTAAACCTTACAAAGAGTTCGTGGAATCAGAATAAACAATCCCCGAATCCTACAAATGAACACGAAGATTTCTGATAAAAATGGTGCAGAGTGGTTAGCAATTGGCTCCACATTTGATGCTCTGAATCTTTGACTGGCAGGCCTGACGCCGGGCTATCTACCACACAAACAACGCAAAATCTTCCAAGGCGCCCACCGATTATGGTCTACATGATGTCTTCATTAGTAGATATGCCTTGACCTAGGCGCCCTTATACTGGATTGAGAGCAGATACGCCCTACTCGTATTAGAATCAAGTGATTTGATCTAAGCCCAATTGAAAAAAACAAAATAATCTATTGATTATCGATTATCTTTTGATAGATATCTAGATATATACCAGCGACAGAAGTGCCTTGGATATCCTCTCCGAGTCTATATTAGCAACTATCCGAATCGATGCTCGACCTCGGCAATTGATGTCCCAGTCCTAGGATCCGAGTATTCTCACTGCATGAGAAGATTCGTCTGGACGAATGCAATGGGGAGTCACGAAGTAGGAATCGAATTGCTGATGAGAAAGACTAGGCTTCTCCATTCAACATTACCCAATAAAGGTCAAGGTTGAAGTTTAACATATTTTAGCTTTGATAAATAAGGGAAAGCCCCTTCGTAAGTAGCCTTTAGCTTTAGTTCTGGATCTTGAGTCATCTTACCTCTCGTACGTTTTAAAATTCTATGAACTTAACCTCTAACTTCCCTCTAATGCATCTATCCTCTCTGATTCGACATTCCAAGATTATAGGATATCCATCATATAGCATCACCGATTACATGCATCTACGGAAATTAATCAATGTCCTAAGGAGACATGCATGCCCTACTAGATAGAGTTAGAGGGGAATGATACTGAAACACATGTTGATCGAACAAATAGTACCGAAAGTGTTCAAGTCGACATTGTATATCATTCATGCCGAATGGGTTGGATTATGGATAATCTCGCAAAAATGAGGCGGCAGTGGTACGAGATAGCGAGTAGCCTCCCAGACAAAAGGTGAAAAGGTTTGAAGGATACTGATATGTGACGGAACGCCTACCCCTCAGAGCTCGCATGCGGCGAGCTCAGGCCTACTTGCAGCGAATCAACGTCTTATCAATATGCATACCGACTACTAAAACCGAGATCTGGGGTGGCTAAGCGCCGCCCCGTGATCCGGTCTCGAGCTCCAAGTAGCATTATGGCTGGTCTAGATCCATGGAATGGACCCTCCTCGTGTTATGATTGGCATCGTCTGGGGTATTACTTAGACTTGCTTAGGTTAGTACCGAGACTGATCTACGAATGAAGATGATGTATACCTCAAGAAAACGAGAAATGATTGAAATAATTTCTCGTGAAGGCTCGAGGGCTATATTGAAATATCTGATCTAGGATATCCGGATATGTAGATACATTCCCTTCTCACTATCGTCGATGGCCTTCGTCCTTGTGCGTGATCCTCCAAATTCATTCTGAGCCTAGGCCTTCGAAGGGAAGACAAACTAGTCTTGTTCCCAATGTACGATTGTATAAAAGGCAGCTTGTAAGCCTGGGATAATCATTATTTTCTCACCGCATCATCTCCAAGAGCAGACCCGATATCCCCGCTTCAGACCCAAACACAAAATCCACAAACTTCACAAACCTTTGAAATATCAATCATTGATTTTTTTCCTATCATTCGATTCTCTAAAGAGTGTCATCATTCAAACACACAATATAAAATGACTTTCACAAATCCTGTAAGCAGACCCGCACATATAAGCACATAACATGCACTAGTCCAATGCATTTTAAAGACCGATTCTAACATGAACGTTCCGAGTTTTTTAGACAACCTCCACCAGCACTGTGGCTCTCGGCAAAACCTGTTCCACCCAGGAACCCGTGAACTATGGCACTAGAGGTATAAGAGGCATTCCAAACAAGTGCACGCAAAGACCAGATGGTACTCTCTGCAATGGGACTATCATGAATGGAGTCTGCCAAACCTGCCATCACGACTACAACTAACCGGATAATCAATGTCCTGGACACCCCGACCTCGTATGGCGGCCCATGGCATGTGATATATACGCCAAAAAATCTTTCGCCATCAATCAGAATCCTAGCCGCGCACATGCGAGGTCCAACAGGGATAAAAAATTTGGGCTAGGCTTCCTCTTTTCATCTATCACACGTCTCGTTTTTGAAATTTGGCCGAATAATATAGTCTCGGCACCTAATTCCTCGATTGTCATTCTTTATCCCACTTTTTAATTTCGTCTGCAGTTGTTCTGTTCCCCCAACCCCAGTACCTTAAGCTAGCTAGCCGCGCGCTGTTTGAAGATTTTGACTTGATGTTTTTGATTGCTTCTTGTTTAGACGTCATGGGTGGCTAGATTGTCTCATGTTTTCAAAATATCTCTGCCTCAGCTGTCACTTGTCCAAAATCTCGAGCTTTCATTATGTTATGTCTGTTTCCTTAAGCGTCCCAGACCGATACCTGCACTCTGGCTCGCAAAGTTTAATAGTGGTTGTGTCTTTCTTTTTTCTTTCTTTCCCGTTATTTGTTTTCCATAGCATTAATAAAATACCTACTTTATGTCTTTCTTTAAGCTCAATTCTTCAATCGCTATCCTGAGACTCAATGATATTCAGTGAGGTCGGGACAAATCAAGTAGGCATAGGGTCGTCTAGTTTTTAGGTAAAATTATAAAATCCGGCAAGTTTTATTCGATCTTAGTTTCGGGATTTCGGACCTAGCTGGGTACCAGGTAGTAAGAGGTAAGTAAGTAGGGAAGTACTTAGCTGTGCCAGAAGGAGGGGGTTTATCGATGCCGTGTTAATACAGTTTTTTGGTTATAATACGGTATTACGGTGTTCAATACTGATTAGAGTATTATGAGAGATAAAAATTTACTAATAACTCGGATTCGAACGGTATTGAAAAACACCACTTTTCTAGCACAGTACCGTCTGGGAGCGAGACTACACAGTACCTATAGCTAAGCTAATTGTGTAATTGCCAGTTGGAGGGGTTGCTAGCTACCGGCCTGGGTAAGTACCTAGGTATCTAACGTTACTGAAATTCGAATTCAGTTGGTGTGCGCGCTGCGTTGTCTAGTCTACGAAAACCACAAAGTCGGCGGCTGGCGCTAAGATATATTCGAACCGCCCCCAGACAAACATTCCATTTCCAGCGTGGAGAAATGATTAACTATGATTTCTCCCCGCCAAATTTTGACTTGTTCTTCTGTTCAAGCACGCTGACTGTTCAGGACTCAAAGGCCGCAATTGCAGAAAGTTGTGATCAGTAGAGTGAGGAGGATGCCAGTGGAGGGTTTGGTTTTATGACTCCTCCCCTTTCGCCCTGCCTTTCGTTCTTTCTCTCTTTCCCTTCTTTTTCCTTTCTGTAGTAGTCATACCTCTTTTACCTCACTCCGCTCTCACCATTTTTCAGAAATCCCAGTCACTAGTCTCAAATCTAGATACCACAGTTCGAGATGGCAGACACACCAGCCATCAAAACTACATTGGCGAGCAGCTCTGTCAAGTTACGGGTAGCTGCTTTACGCGATCTCAAGACGAAGGTTGATGATAAGGGTACGAGTGTCAGAATTCACATAGCTGTGGCCCGCTTTGCAATGCTCACTAGTGCTTTATATCTAACATAAATTTATATCTCCAGAAGTACCCTCAAAAGACGTCCCATCAATCATAAATCTCCTTGTCAAAACCCACAGCTACTACGCGGATAAGTCATCCCGTGATGCAGTCAGAAGCTGCCTGCTGTCCCTCTACAAAAATGCCGACCTCTCAAAACTCTCACAAGATCTTATCAAAACCGTCATAAAAGATGAAAGCTTGAAGCGAGGAGTCGCAGCATCTAGCCGCTATGTCATGCTCGAATGGAGTGTTCAGTTGCTGCGACAAGTCGCTTTAGACAAGGACCAGTTTGTCAACTATTCGGATGCTCTTCTAGCGGCAGCTTCAAATCTGGTGGACGAACTAGCGCAGCCAGAAGTACGCCCAGGCCTGAGGAATGGCGGGAAAAGTTTAATTCGAATTGGATTCCAGAATCTAATAGCTTCGCCCGAAGTCCCAGCGGAAGAAAAGCCGAACTATGTCCAACATATCATCAAGTACCTGACCGCGAAAGCACCAACTCCGAACCGACAAAATGGTATCCTCCTAGGAATCCTGCTCGATGTTCTTTCGAGATCGCCTTCCCTGAGGAAAGTGGTAGGAGACGAACTGAAATCCGATGTATATAGCTTCTATATCAGAGAGTTCATAAATTCTCGGACCACAGTCCCTCCGTATCAGGCCAGTTCTCTTGCCATTTTCTTCAGAGAATTTTGCACTCTTGAAGATCTTGAGAGTCAGATCATTCCAGCCGTCGATAAGAGTCTACTCCGTTCCCCAGAAGTTATTTTAACTGGTGTTCTTGACCCTCTTATCGAATCTTTGAACAAAGACCTTGATCTTGCCAAAATACTCAAAGAGAAACTGCTCAAAAGATTCTTGGATTCAATCAAATCCACAAATGCCGCTATAAGAACAGGTGCTCTCTCTGGGTTCCAGGTTATTTCAAAGCGTTGCCATGATGAGGCCCTATTGGAATCTATCACGGAGGAGATTCTTACCCCACTGGTTGGTGGGAAGACAACCGCAGCTGATCACAAGGTCTCTCACGCTAAGATGCTGGCTGCCCTCCCCAACATAAAAGCACTTGCTGCAAAAGTTCCAAAGGACATGGCGCAACTGATATCAAAAGAGAAGAATGACCAGGCAATCGAAGCTTTCTACGAAGTGATGTTAGAGCATTATTTGGATGGCCTCCTCAATGGCCATATCAGCGCAGACAATACAGTCGTCAAAAAGGTCCAGGATGGCTTATCCGATAAGAAGCCCAATATCAAGAAGAGTACATCTTTTAGAGTTGGAGACCTCCTGCTTCGATCACAGCGGGACAAAGGGAATGATGAAGTCGCAAAATTCGGCGCTTCTGTGGAGCCCCAGTTAGCTGAAATCTACAACGAAGTTTTCACAAATCCATTACCAGCCGCTCAAAGTGGCCTTCTAGGAGGAGCCTACGTTTACCCCAGCCTAGTGTTCAACGATATTTTACCCGGTAAAGCAGTGAATAAGTCAGAAATCGTCAAGCAAAGTTTCGCTGTTCTACCGAAACTTTCCCTTCTACTCACCCCTCGAGTATACACTAAGCTGGCCTCAGAGGATGACTTCCAATGGGCCTTGAAGGCTTTGATGGGTCTAACCCCTCATGTCTTCAGTGAATCTACATCGGCTGCAGCATGGGCGCAGACATTTATTTATTTTATCTGTGGCGGGTCGCAGTCCCCCAAATTCCGACGGGATGCTGCGTCAGCTCTATCACAAGCATTTGCCCAATATCCTGAGGAAGTAGGCCCAACAATAACTTCAGGGCTGTGCGATTGGATTAAGTCACTGGAAGAGCCGGAAAAGGACTCCCTCAGCGTCGGAACCAAGGGCACCATCAACGACGTTTCCAGGGCACTCAGGGCCACTCTTGTTGATGCTGTCGATTCAGTCGATATCCCAATGGAAGTCCGCGAACACCAAATCATTAACGCCCTCGTCTTATCTCACCATGGATTGCTATACCGAAGCATTGATTGGATTTACGTTTGCCAACAGCTTTTGGTCGACCCCCGCGCTTTGGTCGAGAAATATACCGACAGGCTCCTAGATGAAATCAAGAAATCTTTCGACTATCCTCTAAAAACAATTCACCTGGCTGCTGCAGAAGCCGCTGCAAAGCTTGCTTTTATAATACCCGAGCTTTTCACTCCTCGCCTCATCTCCCTCTTCGCCTCAGATCTCTCGCGGGAAACTGTAGCTGGGGTCACCGACCTCAGTTTATCAATCTGGCGAGCCCCATCAGACGTTCCGTTTGTGGACGTGCTAGCAAGCAAGTCTGCTGCCCCTGCTGCTCGCAACAAAAACAGCGATATCGCAAAGTGGGAGGCGGAAGTTCGCAAGGACATCGAAAAAAAGAGAGGTCCAGTCCAAAGGAAACTTACAGCAGATGAGCAAGCAAAGGTCACAGCCCAACTTGCAAAAGAAGCGGAGATCCGGGCCAACGTAAACGAGGCGCATAAGAAGCTAACTCGTGGGATTGCTATTATTTCAAGTCTCGCTCGTGGGGTCAACAATGGCAGTGAAGAATGGATGGCACCTGCGACCCAAGCTTTGCTGGAGGTGTTAGGCTCCAGTGCTTGTGATATTGTCGGCAAGGGGGCAAATGAAACGTATCTGTACAACGCTAACCTAACCTCTTCACGACTGGGCGCCTTTAGATTCTTCGTTGGGATAACTACTCTTCGTGCCTATGGAGCGACAGGGCTTACGGGTGAGATGATAAGTGAGGAATTGGGAACACTTTGTACCCGAGTTCTCCACCGCATACGATTTTTGGGAGAACAGAGGCCGCTTGATTCTATCTCCCTAAATTATGTCCTTCCTTTGGTTCTCAAGGTATTGGAAGATGGGGGAGTGGACGCCAAAACACCAGAAATTGTTGAAGAACAGCTTATTCTGGCGTTAGAAATCCTTTCTTTCCATACCGGAACATGTGAGTCCAATATTCTAAATTTTAAGGGTTGTAGACATGCTAACAACGATAATCACAGGCGTTGATACTAATATTGCGAGGAAGAAGATCTTCGAAACGTTGATAGCTTGCATTCGGAAATACACACAACATTACAAAATGATTAAAGATTGCCTTATGGATCTGTGTCGATGCATTTCTGACAATATCACACCTGAAGAGATCAAGGTTCTCGTTGCAGCTACAATTCAACCTGAGGCAAATCTAAGAACGGCGGTCCTACAAGCTATCGAAGCTGAAATCGATTTATCAGAATTAGGAAGTTTGGATTTGATTTGGATAGCATCGCACGATGAGGTTGAGGAAAACGCAGAGCTTGCCCGCACCACTTGGGAGGTCCATGAAATGACGGTGTCTGAAGACAGAGTCGCAGACCTTCTCCCATATCTCGACAGCCAAGATCGTCAACTTCGAGGAGCTACCGCACGCGCTCTCGGAGAAGCAGTGAGGATGCATCCGGGTACTTTCACCAATATCTTGACCATACTCAAAGAGAAATATGTGCAGAAAGCCAAGCCTGTTGGGCCTGTTTACGACGAATTTGGTATTATGAAGAAAGCACTGCAACAATCAGATCCTTGGGAAGCACGGAGCGGGATCGCCTTAGCATATAGGGAGCTAGCTCCTTATTTTACAAAGGACCAATTTAGGCCATTTATCGAGGCCGTCATCAAGGATGGTTGTTTGTCCGATAAAGGTCCTGGGGTACGGCGTGAAATGATCGATGCTGTTGCAACCGTTATAGGTATACATGGCAAACCACATGTTGAAGAACTTATGGCAGTGTTTGAAAGCACCCTTGAAGAGCCAGACCGTGGGGCTCAAGCACAAGACGAGCGTAACGAGGCCATTATCATTCTCTATGGAGCCCTGGCAGAGCATCTGGAGCCTGGTAACAAGAAAATTCCGTCAATAGTACAACGTCTCTTTACCACACTGTCAACACCATCCGAAAACGTGCAATATGCTGTTGCAGAGTGTCTCCCACCACTTGTCCGTGCTTCCCGGGACAAAACCGGGGAATACGTTGAGAAGATGACAACCGTTTTGTTCGGTAATGGAAAATACCCAGTTCGCAGAGGGGCAGCCTATGGTTTGGCTGGTATCGTGAGGGGTTACGGTATATCTGCATTGAAGGATTTTTCGATCCTAGCGGCACTCAGGAACGCCACCGAAAGCAAGAAAGACCAAAACGCTAGACAAGGCGCGCTTTTTGCATACGAATTGTTTTCGGTTTTCCTTGGGCCCGTATTCGAACCGTACTTCATACAAATCCTTCCGGCCCTGCTTACATGCTTTGGTGATGCTGTGAGCGACGTCCGTGAAGCTTGTGCTGAAGCAGCAAAGGCTTGTTTCACAAATCTGTCGTCCTACGGTGTTACCGTTATCCTACCCACGCTACTCGATGGTCTTGACGAGTCGGCTTGGAGATCGAAGAAAGGTGCTTGTGAAATGTTAGGTAACATGGCATACCTTGCACCCAGTCAACTTGCGATCAACCTGCCGACTATTATTCCGCCATTGACCAATATCTTGACTGACACTCATAAGGAAGTCAGATCTGCTGCAAATCGAAGCTTACTCAAGTTCGGAGATGTTATTTCCAATCCTGAGATTAAGGAATTGATTGGCGTGCTCTTGAAGGCGCTGAGTGACCCAACAAAGTATACAAACGACGCACTAGATGCACTTTTGAAGGTGTCATTTGTGCATTATCTTGACGCTCCTTCGCTTGCTTTAGTCGTCAGAATCCTTGAACGTGGTCTGAGTGACCGATCACAAACAAAGAAGAAGGCTTCTCAGATCATCGGCAGTTTGGCCCATCTCACAGACAGAAAGGATCTCATGGTCCATCTATCGATACTTACAAGTGGCCTCAAAGTCGCGGTTGTGGACCCGGTCCCACAGACACGTTCCACCGCTTCAAAAGCACTCGGTATCCTTGTCGAAAAACTCGGAGAAGATGCTATGCCAGAACTTATCCCCGGCCTCATGTACACACTTAAGTCAGAAACTGGTGCTGGAGACCGACTCGGGTCCGCCCAGGCTCTATCCGAGGTTCTTGCTGGTCTTGGTACTGAACGTCTCGAGGAAGTGTTACCAACGATTCTCTCGAATGCCGGAAGCAGCAAGCAACATGTCAGAGAAGGCTTTATGTCCATGTTCATTTTCTTGCCTGCATGTTTTGGAAATGCCTTCAGCAATTATCTTACCAAGATTATTCCACCAATTCTTTCTGGACTTGCGGACGACGTTGACTCGATTAGAGAAACCGCCCTCCGTGCCGGTCGACTTCTTGTCAAAAACTTTGCTACAAGGGCTGTGGACCTTCTTCTTCCAGAACTCGAAAGAGGCCTTGCAGACGACGCTTACAGAATTCGTCTCAGCTCCGTCGAACTTGTTGGCGATCTCCTCTTTAACCTTACAGGGGTTACAGGAACTATCGATGAAGTCCATGTCGAAGCGAACAACGAAGTCAGCGCCGCTTTGCTTGATGCCCTTGGTTCTGAAAAGAGAGACAGAGTACTTTCCGCCATATACATTTGTCGAAGCGATACCTCTGGCTTGGTCCGCAATGCTGCAATCAATGTTTGGAAGGCACTCGTCCCATCACCCCGTATTCTGAAGGAAATGATCCCTACATTGACCGGATTTATCATTCGTCGTCTTGCCAATCCAAACCCCGAACAAAAGGAAATTGCTGGACAAGCGCTTAGTGAGCTTGTCAGGAAGGCTGGTGAAGGGGTTCTAACTTCTCTATTGCCGACTATGGAGGAGAGCTTGGTGACCACAACAGATGCAGACGCCAAGCAGGGTATTTGCATTGCTCTCAAGGAGTTGATCACATCTACTCCTGAGGAGGCTCTGGAAGACCACGAAAAGACATTGATTTCTGTTCTCAGAATAGGATTGGTGGACAGTGATTCCGATGTCAGAGATGCAGCAGCAGACGCTTTTGACAGCATCCAGCGAGTATTTGGCCGGAGAGCTGTCGATCAAGTGCTTCCATTCCTGCTTAATCAGCTACGCGATGAAGATTCGGCGACCAGTGCTCTCGCTGGTCTCCTTACGCTGCTTCGTGACCATGGCAGGGCCAACCAGATACTACCTGTTCTCATTCCAAACCTGCTTACCTCACCTATGTCGGCATTCAATGCATCCGCTTTGGCAAATCTTGCGGAAGTTGCTTCGAGTGCCGTCAACAGACGACTACCTCAGATCATCAATACTTTCATGGATAATCTCGTCGAAATCAACGACGAAGAAGTCAGACAAGAATTGGCAGAGTCCTTTGACCAAGTTTTGTTGGCTGTTGACGAATTCGACGGTCTCAATACAAGCATGAACGTCATACTGGGACTACTGAAACATGACGACGAGAAAAAGAGGGCCACTATGGCTAGGCATTTGGCTACCTTCTTCGAGCAGAGTGAAATTGACTTCTCCCGCTATACGCCAGACTGTATCCGTGTCCTGTTACAACTCTTCGATGATAGAGAGATTGACGTCGTCAAGGCTGCCTGGGAAGCGCTCAATGCACTCGTCAAGAGTCTGCGCAAAGAGGAAATGGAGAGTCTTGTCGCATCTACCCGACAAGTTCTTCTGCAAGTCGGGAGCCCTGGCCATGACCTCCCTGGGTTTACTATTCCTAAAGGCATTAATGCCATTCTTCCGATATTCTTGCAAGGTCTCATGTATGGCACACCGGAACAACGAACGCAATCCGCTCTTGCTATCGCAGATATCATCGATCGTACAAATAGCGACTCGTTACGGCCTTTCGTTACACAGATTACTGGGCCGCTCATTCGTGTGGTATCCGAGAAATCCGTTGAGGTTAAGTGTAAGTTCCTCGGTTGTCTATATCGATTGATGTCTTGTGGAATTAGTCTAACGCCTAAATTTAGCTGCGATTCTTTTAACTCTTAATTCCTTGCTGGAAAAGATTCCGACATTCCTCAAGCCATTCTTGCCGCAATTGCAGCGCACTTTCGCGAAGGCCCTTGCAGATACTTCAAGTGAGGTATTGAGATCAAGAGCGGCAAAAGCCCTAGGCACATTGATCACCTTGACTCCAAGGATCGATCCCTTGATTGCAGGTATGTTCGTTCGAACCGATACGATATCGATAAACATTAACCCGATATGCCTCTTCTAGAACTCGTCAGCGGATCTAAAACCCCTGACATTGGTGTCCGTGTCGCTATGCTGAAGGCATTGTACGAAGTTGTCAGCAAAGCGGGTGCCAATATGGGAGACCAGTCTCGTACCTCTCTAATAGCTCTTATAGAAGAAGAATTAGAGGATAATGAAGATGCGTTGCTAATTACTAAGGCCAGGCTATTAGGCGCCATGTCCATGGCTGTCCCACTTGACCACATGGGTAAGATCATTAAGACGCAGGCCTTGACGACACATTTTACCAAATACTCGGTGTTGGTTTTGAACTCGGTGTTATTGGACGCCGGAAATGCAATCGAAGAGGGCGGACTGGTTGACGATGCCGCAAAGGTTATCTGTCGAGGATTGGCGGACCGTGACGTACGAAACCTCATCTATTCTTCCTTGTCGACCACATAGCTGACCCTCTTATAGCCCTACATCTCAGACAACAGCGCCGTCGCGGCTGGCAAGCTCCTTTTGTCGGATAATATCCATAAGTCCTTCGAGACCTCCAAGACTCTATTTGAAACCATAGCCGATGCCGTCAAGGGTCCCAATAGCAACTCAACTGACACCAAACGTCTTTCGCTCATCGTTTTACGAACTATCAGTCGACTTCATTATGAGACGGTTAAACCTCATCTTCCATTGTTGGCACCGGTCGTATTCGGCAACGTTCGGGATTCCGTCATTCCAGTAAAGTTGAGCGCAGAACAGGCTTTCCTAGCGATCTTTAGAACAGTCGACGAGGGAGATGCAATTTTCGAGGTTTGTGTTTGGTCCTTATTCAAAAGTTTTATATAACAGTGTCGGATTTTGTCGGAAGGCTGAAGAATGCTGACATGAAACGACCCCTTGGTTTTTAGAAATATATTGCCACTATCGAGGGTCCCCAGAAACGTCTCACACAAGACTGGTACAAGCGGGTGGCATCAAAACTCGCTGCCGCAGAACGAGAAAGGAACGAAGCAGGTGGTAGCTCACTAGGATTAAATAGTGACGAGGAGGATGATTATAAAGAGATTATGAGCGTTGGGAAAGTTGATTTCGAAGGATGGGTTAGTGCTGACTAGAGGACGGGCGAGAACCCCACCTAACCGCTCGATTTCGCCTATCATATTCATTGCGGATGTCTCGAGATAAGGCTCCGGGCGGCGAGGGGGCCTTTTTTTTTGTCATTCGGCCCAAATTTTTACTTCTTGTATGTTAACTTTTTTTCTTTCTTTCCTTTTTTGTTACATTCCTTTGTTACCGCTTTATGCACCACGGGTAGCATTTTAGATCACTTTTTTTCCTTATGGGTGTAGGTCTGAAAACGGACGGAGAGAATAAAAAGCTGTGAGTTTTTTTTTTTGATTTCTGAAGACGATTTGAAACTAAGGAACAAGAAGCATTTCATGACGGAGCTATCCCGTCTCCCCGAAAATGTCAATCATTCATGAAAATCTTAGTGAATCGCAATACCCGTGATTCGCCATTGACGCCTTGACATGCCATAAGTAGTATCGAAAGAAAAGAAGAAGAAAAAAAATACGAAAAGCGTTACTTCTTCATCATGTCCATCAAAGATCTCTGAGTCGGCCTAGTCTTCTTGCAATCCATCAGCGTCCCCTGCCTAGCTTCCCTCAGGGGAACGACGGGAAACTTTGTCTCCGCAAGTCGTTTCTCTTGTTTCATGGACGCCAGCGCCCATTCCACGCTCACGTAGTGGATTTTCGACTTAACTCTACCCTTCATTTCCAAATCAATTTTTCTACTCGCCAGAATCGCAGTTCCGGATTGATAATCCACCGTTCTTGATAACTGAGAAGTACCACAAGACGTAGACATCGTAGATGTTAACGATATTTGAGGATCCGATGAAATGCCGGTGGATGCATATGCAGCGGCAGATGGGTTAGTGAGAATGATGTGTGTGACTTGACGTCTAGCGAGGTGGTATGAAACCACAGCACCATGAGAAGTGAGAAGACGCTTTAATTCTACATCCGAGACACCGGAGAGGGAGGTATTCCCATTGATGTAGATAGTACAGTTTTTGAAGATTTGCTTGGGCATTTTGGGATCATTTGCAGACGACGGGGAAGGGGCAGTCGTCTGGTGCGTTGTTCCTGTGGGAGGTTTTTGGATGCGGTTAGCACGCTCATATGATATGATATGATACATGTATGATATGCAAGAACGTTACCGAGAATAAAAATGCAAGGAATGAACGAACGAACGAATGTGTGAATGAGTGAGTGAATAGGATGGATGGGATGGATGGATGGCTCACCATTTGAGTGTTCAATCACATTACCAGTGAGTTCCAGACCACTTTTACTTGCGTTTCGCTTTGTCGTCCCCACTTTCACAGCTGCACCGACGGTAGTGAACTGGGTTTTGAGTTTTTGGTTCCTATCGTCTCGCCAGCTGGTGAGACCGGTACCACTACCGCCATCTTCGCGGATTTGGTGGCCTGTTGATGAAGTTACATATATATCCAGAGGTTTATCCGGTCTGGAAGTCGAGGCTAGTTCGACGAGCTTTCTCTTGAGTTCGGCGCCCTTGAGAGATGATCCAAACTTTGGAGGAGGAGGAGGAGGCATCGATTCGATGGATTCGCGAGGACACGTGCCGTCGTGTGTGTGGATTGTGAGAAGTTGGTGGTTAGTTTTGTAGTTTGGTTTTGACTCGTATGTGCATACTAAGTATATGCATAAAATATCAATTAGGATTATTATGAGTAAGTAAGATGATATTGATCTTTAGAATCGTCTCGTATTCAATTTGCGAAAGAAAATAAAAAATAAAATAAAAATATGATGAAGTATACGTATATTCGCTCGGCACTTACGATGACTCGTAGACATACATGCAGGACAGGACGTATACGACAAACATGAACATTAACCTTTCGAATCAATCGTTTGTCAAACTAGTTTCGCCGAACGTTAAAGTTTCCAAGAAACGCGTCAGAATCACTTGCATATGATTTGCATGGTCGAATTAAGTTTAACCAAAAAGATTAAAAATAAAATAAAAAGATTAAAAACGGTGGTGCAGTTTTGGTCGCGCGAGAAATACCCGGCCAGATTAAATTGATCAACCACCATGCAAATTGCAACCTGGTCTATCTAAGCTATGTATGTACGGCGATATGGGGTTATCGGGCATGTAAGTACATACATTACATACCACTACTTAATGTACATGTATGTAAGTATGTATGTAGGTTAAGTCGGTCTGGAAAAGTATGTACCTGCAGCTACTTACTCAAGAATGGCATTTGTGGAGATCCGATATCACAGGCATAGACCCAGCCGGTGACATTGTCATTCTTATCCTTCCTTCCTTCCTTTTTTCTTTTCCCTTCCCCGATCCGCCTTTGCAGTGCAGTTGAAGCAGGCGGCGGCGGGCGCAGACCTGGCAAAAGGGAAAAGAAAGCGAGTTTAGGTCGGGATGATGCATGCATCTCGCATTCTGCAGGCTTCTTGATCAAGCAAAAGCAGCTTTTTTTGGCCGGCGGCAGCACCAAGCACGTACACACAAAGTAAGTACTAAGGACATACATTCTTATTAAGCTTTTCGCCAATAAATAAATACATCTTAACGATAGCTGGTATACCAGCTACATAGTATACCAACCATGTCCATGAATAGAAACGGGCTGGCTGGCTGCTTTTATTGTCCAATAGAATGTGCCGACGAGACCCAACAACCCTGAGCGATTCTGTGGGTTTGTTCCCTTATTTACCATCATTTCTATGCATCACGATATACCCCATCCGACGCATCTGTCAGCTTTGCGACCGACCTTAGTTTAGGTCTGTTTCTCGATTTAGTACTTCTCTCTCTCTCTCTCCGCAGCTTAAGCTTGGCCTGGCTGGCTGGCCTGTAAGTTTCCATGCAGCGTGCCATTCCCCAACGTCAGTTACAACACATTGCCCTGTCCTGTTTTGTGTTGTCCCTGTCGATGTCGATGTCGATGTCGATGTCGATGCCGACTTTGAATCCCGGATAATTATAATATTATAATCCGGATGGGCTGATTCCTTAGGATATATGTCTATACATCACTATCGTTCTACTTTTGGTATCAACAATTAATTGTTATCATGCAGGGTGTGCTTTCCCGCGATGAGATGTCGGAGGCACAAGTTGTCTTATTTGATTTTATCGATGGTCTGACATCTTATGTAAGATTGCCCCCTCAATCGATCAAACTCTTTCTTTAGTTTTTATTTTTTTCAATCCTAAAATCTCCCCTTTTCCTGAAGTCTATGGGTGTAGTAGGTGTAGATGTAAATATATTTGTCGTATTAGTATTCTTGGAAGGGAGAATTCTAAAACGGATCTACGGAGCCGCAGTCTATAAATTCTGGAATTGCAAGATCCTGAATATATACAATTATAACTAACTTATATGGTATATTTATATATGTACGAGCATGCTGTGTCACCACTACTATCATGAAACGTTTGGATGCAATTAAATACAATTACGGACCGAATGATTATATACTATATATGCGTGTATGTTTTGTATTTGATAGTGTGATATCATAGGATTCCAAAACTCTGCTGCATGCATGTTGCATAATATAATATATACGGCGACGAAGCGTCAGCATTCTGAGGAAGAGGGGTCAAAAAAGCTTAAATCTGGTAGCGGATGTTTTAAATTTATTTTCTTCTTTTTCTTCTTTCCTTTCCTTTCCTTCCGGGTTCCTTTCCTTCTGCTACCGATATCGATAATGCATTCCATAGTAGGCTGTGGTTACCCACATACATACCTACATACACACATACATACATACATACATATATACATAATGTACATACATTATAATAAATGTACTGGGAAACCGCATGTTTCGGCATTGCATTGCATGAAAGATGGGTGCGCAGCTTCCGCGCCTCGCCTATACTTACGACTTCGTAAGAGGAGGGTGCTTACGCGCAGCCGATCAGTAAACGTCGCTTCGGCTGCGGCTTACGTGCATGCATTGCTGATGAATTCGAAACTTATGTTTGGAATGTGTGTACATGTTGTGACAACTTTGTCTTTTTCGATGCTCTTCAACGGCAAGGTTAAGAAATTCTTCAGTTGAAGTTTCATCATTCTGTTGTATTATTATTTCGATTTTTTTAATTAGATCCTTTTGACAGGTTTTTTTTTTTTTAGGTGACAGCCTATGATATGATGGCTATGCACTTGTGACAATCATGCTTCATACCCGAAGCCGAATTTCGGGGACCCTGAAAGCCTTTCCGGATTTCCGCCCCTCTTTCACATTTCAATTTTTTCTCTCTCTCTCTGAAGGCACGTGGACACGGACAGCGGTTTCTGCCGAATCTATTGCACAAGGAAGGAACATTCCAAGCGGAAGAAGGTTTTTATTTTTTTTTTGGACAATCATCATCCAAGCGCTCTGGATATCTCGAACCCTTGCATATTTTTCTTTTCTTCCTTGTTTGCCCCCCTCCTCCTCCTCGGCGACAGTGGGCCCAGGCGACCATCTCGAGAAGATGATAGCAAGTATAGTAATATCAATCACAAAGTTCGGTTATTACCAAATTGCATGCATGATAAAATCTGCGGCTGGGAATATTGGTTTTGTTTTTACTTGGGGCCGTAAGTTCCCCCTGGATCCGCTCGCGATTGTGAAAAGTTTTCCGGTACCTGCGTCAAGGCCACCTGTTTGTTCCAAGAGGGTCTATTAATCTCTCAATTAATTTAGTGAGGCGCTCTTGGAAAGGGAACGGGAAAAAAAAGAATATACTGATTGACGACATTTTACGAAATTGTGGAGCAGGAGGCGGGAAAAAAAAAAAAGAGGGCCAGGAACCAGAGACAACGTGTGAATGGGGGGTACATACATGTAGCCACAGCCTACATACCCTCCCCCTTCCAGCTGCAATTTCGAGAACGAGGAGGAGGAAAAGGGCTCGTTCCTGGATCCGTATGAGGCTTTCCCCTTGTTAAGGGTCTTTTTCCTTTTCACATTACATACAGACATACATACAGCCAAAAAAGATAATACGCATCTGCTGCGAGCATCTGCTGCTGTGCTAGCCATCCATCCATCTTATCCACACTTGGCTCCTTGGTGCTGCGGTTAGAAATTAGTTTATGGCCAGGGTGCCACTATCTGGTGACCATCTGGACCCAGCTTATGCAAGGGCGGGAATGCGGGATTGTATCATAGCTAATTTAATCGTTGCGCAGGCGGCTTAACGACGAAAAAAACTCCAACACAAACCCGCCTCTCCATTAACAAGGGATACTTCCACGATGGATGGATGGTAATGGAGCAGCCGTGAGACATTGCGCATTGGTAACGAACGCTGTTCTGTGATGTAGTTAATTTTGTTAGTTATCGTGGAGCCATCTGGACCCACCGGTTATGGCTGATATTGCATTGGCCCAGATGGGCTAACGGGAATCCAACGTTTGAGGTTTTCCAGCTTTTGCAGTTAATTGGCAAGCTAGCCTCTTGCAAGCCGTTTACCGTTGAAGTTTAGCCCGGACATCAAAATATCTATCAATCAAGACTTCATCGCGGAACGGATGATTGCCACTCCGCCTTACCTGAAAAGCCTCAAGAAAGGAGAGGAACGAAATTTTTGTTTTAAACTAATTAACAAAACTTGAGATCAAAAAGAAAAAAAGCCCCGAAGTCAAAGTGAAACCAAGATTTGTCCGTGCCTAACAGGCCATTCGCAAAATAACGGATGTTGAAGTGCTTGTTTGAACGGAACATTTCCTTTTTGCGAAGCTGTTGGGCCAATTGGCGACTCTTCGCCATCTGTTGCCTAAATGAAGCTAGCCATTTGCCTATTGCCGAGCCGTGTCTTTTTGGTCTGGACACCCTCCAGTTCAGCTTAGACCCGAGACACTTTACACCCACCTGCGCCAATCATCTCGATATCTCCAACCTAATGGGTTTTCCCTCCTCCGTCAGAATGAGTGGCTCACAGAAAAATCCTTTGAATGACAGGATGACAAGCATGTAAGCTTTCTTTCTTTCTGGATGTTGTGCTTGGATGAATGGATGATTGCTAACTTGACATCCAATTAATCGCCATCCTGTCTGTCATGTCATGCGATCTACGATTTTTATCTTAATCTCCCCTTCACCTTTTTTTGGTGCATCTTTCGCCATTTGATTTGCAGGATGCAAGTCTCTGAGCGGTCCGCTATTGCATAAGTCTCTGTTCGCGTATGCATCCAGGCCATGGCCCTACCCAGTGCATGCCTTAAGCTTAAGCTTCCACTTTTTTTTTCCCCCCCCTTCCCTCTTGCTCCTTTGATGTGCAATGTACATAACTTTGCACCTACACACGGATGTACATGTACATGTACCCCAAATCCCACTACCCGCCTCCCTACATAAGGGCTTTTTAGGGTGTGCATTAATACTGAAGCTCTTTAGGGTATGGTGGTCTTAAAAGTTATTTTTTTTTATTTTTTTATTCCCACCTGATGGGGCTATTAAGGTTGCTTGCTTCCACGCACATCACAGCGTGCGTGTGCTCAAGCGACGGGAGCAAACATATGTAAATGCTATGTACATACATAGTACTCCGTACTAACTAGCTTGTC